GTGTCGCCGCCAGCGCCGCCACCACCGCCAGGCAGGACGTCGACAAGTGCTGCGGCATCGCGAGCACGCCGTCGGCGCTCGCCACTCGGCCATCGAGAGACGGTGGAGTGCGGCCAAGCTCGGCACCGCTCCCTCTCCATGTCCGTGGGCAGCGTCCGTGCATTCGGCGAGTCGGCCGATGTGCACAACAGCCATTCAGCCGAAACTGCGCTCGGAACTGCGTCCCTGCGCCATCCACCGCGCTGACTCGCCGAACTCGGCGGCGGTGAACGAACGCACCAGAGCGCGAAACCAGCACAACAAACCAACGGCCGAGTCAGTCGCCGAAACGAAACGAAGCGGAAAGTCCTTTTTGCTCCCGTAGACCGCGTGGAATGGCATGCAGCGCGGTGCGGCAATGCGGGGCGTGCCGTGCCGGGCGAGCGGTCGCTCTTGAAGCGGCCGCTAATGCAATCACGCAAGTTTTTGGCCAGGGCGGCCAGGGCGGCCAGGGTGGCGCCTCCGCCTCCGTGCGTCCGTGCCTCCACGTCGTGGTGTCGTGATGACAGGGCCCGGCCAGGCCCGGCCCGGCGGCCCACCGCCCCGCCCCCAGCCAGCACCAAGATAGCCCAGAAGACGGATACCGAGAGTCCGTTTTCGTCGCTCTGCCTCTCTCGGACTCGTGGGGCGTTCCGTATAGGTGCGCGAGAGAGACAGAGCGACGAGAGAGACTCTAGGAACCAGCCTGCAGACACTTGCGCACCGTTCCTGCGACTTTTCCACTCGCGACGGCGCCGCGTCCACATCAAACGCCAAACGTCCCGGCAAGCCAGCGCCGCAGGCTGAACCTCTGCCGGCTGTGCTCGCTGCGCTGGGGTAGGTGGCTGGCGCCATGCTCGAGCCACGCTGGCGCGGTGCGCTGGAGGGCGGGCCGTCCCTTTGAATGCCGTGTTGCTGGAGCCCTGCACAGCCCTGCCGGCGAGCCCCGCAAGTCCCGAGGTCCTAGGGCCGTACCGGGCCGGCCGGGCCCTGCACCTTCCCCGGGTCGGTGATCACAGGGCGCGGCAGCATGGCGGCAGAGAGCTGCGATTGTCACTAAGACCTTGCCCGCGGCTCCGCTCGGCTCCGCTCGACTCCAAGGCAAGGCAGCGGCGCAGGTAGCACGGCAGCACAGCACCGCTTTCACAAAAAAAAGCTCCAGGAACCTCCAGGACCTGGCCGACGCCCTGACGGCCCCGACGGGGCGCAGCTTGCAACTCGCACGCCTCGGGCGGTAATTACGCTGGATTAAAACCGGGAACAAGTGTTATTGTGTGCGGCCCGCTCTATGCGGCGCCAGCGTGCCGCCTGCTTCACAGGCAAGGGCACAGGCGAGGCACAGGCCGGATGAAAATGCTCCAAAGTGTGCCCTCATTGCACGCCCCTCAAATATGGACTTTAAAAAGGGGCTAAGACCCTGTGGCGAGCGCCTCGGCCTCCCTGTGTGTGTGTGCGTGTCTGTGTGCCTAATGACAGCGGAGCGCGGAGCCTTGATGAAGGTGTTTCAGAGAAAGTGCCGAGTTTGGCCGCCTAGTGGCGCTAGTAGTGTCGTCCGCCGCGAAGCCCCGCCCCGCATCATCCAGCCGTCCAGCCATCAGACTCGACGCCCTACAACCTGTGGCCACTTTGCCGGCACCACTCTCTTTCACACACATTGATCGAAAACCTCCGAACCACGACGGCGAAAATCTGCCTACCGTGCGTTCCTCCCTCGGTTCGCTGGTGTAACCTGGTGTAACACTGCCCCCGGCGTCCCCTCTCACGGTCGGGTAGCGGTGCGGCGGTGCGGCGACGGGCGATAGTGGACCACTTTCCAAGTTGCCTGACGACCGCTTCGCCCTTCGCCTGACGGCCTCACGGACTTTACACCGCTGGCCCCGCTGGCGCGGCTTTTGAGACCGCATCGCGTCATTTCTAATTCCTCGGAGATAGCGGTAGAGTGATGATCAGCATATTTTCCTACCACCTTTTCGGAAGTAGACCGGGGCGTTGGAGTACATGCTTTGACCCAAACTTGACCTTGACCCGCACCGCAAGCCATCCCGGACGCGGAAGCGCGGCAAGAGGTGACCCGTGTCACGGCGGTGCCACCGCGGCCGCCGCTCCGTCGCACGGCTAATTGGTGCGTTTGTCTCTCCGTCTCTCTCGCACACGCACTCGCGGTGCGTCGCGGAGGGAGTGCGAGAGAGACGGGGCGGTGGGACACTGTTCGAAATCGGCCCGCCTGCTGGGCGGCACGCGGCGGGGAGCCGACGGCCGCTCAGCCACGCCACGCCATGCTAGGGTGACGCGCGGGCCGTGTCCGGTTATCCGCTAATCACCCCAACACGCGCACACGCACACGCACGCACACGCACACACACACACACACACACACACACACACACACACACACACACACACACACACGAGCACGTGCGGCCCTTTGACGCTCACCTGTGCGCCACCGTGCCCGTGTTCGGCGAGGCCACATCGAATCAGCCATTAATTGAGGCACTCGAACCAAAACGACGCGATGAAGCCGCTTGTTGCGCCTAGCTCTCTCCCTCTCTCTTTCCCTCCCTCAACTCTCTCTCTTCCGGGCGCTCTCCGGATGGCCAAACCGATTGCTTTCTGCCGTCGTCGCACTTGCAACAGATTCACTCCGCCGACTAGACGACTGAATGCACGCGGGATTGTCCCTCCCCGGCCGTTCTTGATCCGAGCGCGGTGGCGCGGTAATGCAGGCGATGGGCTTATTAGCAGTGTCGGGGGAGGTGTCCCCGCCAAGGGTCCGCGGCAACGGTCCCCGCGCGGGTTAGGGGAGGGAATGGAGTGCTAACAGGTTTATTCATGTTGCAAATTGTCTGAGGCTTCGGGTAGCGCCCCGCCCCGCCCCGCCCGATGGTGGTCCCATTTTGATGACGCCAGCGCCCCCGGCTAAAGAGCCTCGCCCTGGCAGCCTTGTCGCGCTGCATCTGCTGCGGCGTGCTGCAGCATGCCGGCGAGCGCACCGCGGAGCAGCACAAGCAGGTCCACCCGCAGCCCGCAGTCCGCGCCCGGCGGCGACTCTACCTATTAAAGGGGAGTTCTCGGATTCACATGTCGCACTGCGGAGGCCGCCCGGACCGGGAAGACGGACAGCTTGTTGTGCGGCGGAGCGCCGGGACGAGGCTCCTCTTCCTCTGGCGGCGACGGCCACGCCGACCAGCCCGCCTACACTGCCGTGCCCCGTCGTGCCGCCCGCGCGCATCCCCCTGCCGCATCGCCCCTCGCCCCTCGCCACGCAGATCATTTGGAAACAGTTTCAACTTGGCGTCGTCAAAGTTGTTGTCGAGTTGTTGCTGACACTGAGCACAGTGAGCAGCGCGGCGCCAACTCCGCTGCCTGCCCGTCTGACTGGCTGCCTGCCTGGCTGCCTGCCTGCCTGCCGGCAGCGAAGCGTTTTCGCCCTCAGCGATCCGCACAAACACCACCAGCTCCACACAATGAATAAATCTCCATTCATTGGGCGGCTCGGGCCTGCTCGGGCCGGCGGCGCTTGGTGGGCGGTCCTCGCGGTGGGGGCGGGGCGGGGTGGGGGCTCTAACTGCCCCCGGGGGCTGCTCTGTTCGCTCGGCTCTGCTCGTTACAAGATGTGCCTTGTCGATTTGCGCCTCATCACAAGTCAAGCGCCACGCCCCGCCCCGCCCCGCCGCGCCCCGAGCGCCTCGCTCAAGCACGAGCTCAAGCGCAGAACAGAAGCGGTCGGTTTGCGCGCCGCCACGCCCCGCCCCGCCCCACCACCAATTTGTGTCGCGCAAACAAATCTAAATCAGCGGGTGAGCTCTCCGCCCCCGCGGCCGCCGCTCCGCCACTCCTTCCCGAGTCTGCGCGGCTGATGTGAATTTGCGCTTCGTGTTTTTGTGCAGCTCCCGTCGTCGCCGCCGCCGCCGCTGCGCTGCAGGTGTCCACCGCTCTTGAGAGCGAGCCCCGCCCCGCGCGCCGCCGTCGAGAAATCGCACGCGTTTTCCCCTCGTTTGTCTTTTGGCGTTGTTGGTGTGCGCGCCGTCGGCGCAGTGCGTGACACGGCACGGCGGCAGCCACTTGGAGGCGCGCCGCCCTTCCTGCCGCCCCTCCCCCTCCCCCTTCCCCTTCCCTCACTCCGTTTCGGTAATCAGCCGGTTTATTCTCGCCCCGCGAAGCATCGCAAAACCGACGACAGTTTGGCCTGATTACGAAATGAGATACGCGGAGACGAAATGAAAAGGACGACTCGGTGGCGGCCAGGAAAAAATGTTGCCGAAAAGGAGTCTTTTCATCCAACATGATTAAAGTCCTATTCACGGTGATAGCAGCCCCCCCCCCCCCTTCACCCGCCCCTTCCCCCTCCTGTCCATCCCCTCCCGTTCCCGTCCCACTTTTGCATCTCTCAATTACCCGAGAATAAACAAGTAATTTTGAGGGGGTGCAGTAAACAGTCCTAGAAACTTTTCCCACTTCAGGTGAACGGTTCGAAAAGCACGAGTTTTTCGTAATTAGGTGTGTTGCTCGTTTGGTTTGTTGTTAAGTCTGCGACCTGAATGGTCCCGTGGAAAGCGAGGGCTTGGAAGAAAGTTATGGCGGAGGTTTCAAATAACGCTTCACTTTATTCAATGCTTGGGACATTCGGAGCAGATTTTCACATCAAATATTAAGACATAATAATGGTAACTCAGGAATCGTTAAAACTAGAAGCAAATCATGACAACAACTTTACGTATAATTTTATATCTAGCAAATACACTACTACCACATGATAATAATACAATTGATAATAACTTCACAGGACAAATAACTGGTGAGTAACAATACGAGGGTCGCGACGAGGACAACGTTAACAACGGAACAGGAGAGGAAGGCGCGAGGCGCGGGCGATCACGAGAAGAGGGGCCCGTGCACGTAGCTGACGTTCCGGAACAGGCCGGGCGGCAGGAAGGGCGGCGGGGCGTGCGCGGGGGCGGGCGGCGGCGGGTGCAGGGGGCCGCAGCACTCCCCGGCGCCGCCGCGGCCCAGCAGGTCGTCGATGTTGGCCTGCTGCCGGAGCTGCTCCAGACGCAGCTGGTTCTGCCGCTTCCATTTCGTCCTGAAACAAAGTGACGGTGGATGAGGTTCGCGCTCTGGCGGGCTCTTCAAGCTGCTGCTTTGAAGAAGGACCCCACCTGCGGTTCTGGTACCAGGTCTTGACCTGCGTCTCGGACAGGTTGAGCGCGTCGGCCACGTCGCTGCGGTCCGCCACGGACAGGTACTTCTGGCATCGGAACTTGCGCTCCAGGTAGGCGAGCTGGGCGTGCGTGAAGGCGGTGCGCCGCCGCCGCGGCTTGCGACTCCGGCTGCCGCCCCCGCTGCCGCCGCCGCTGCCGCCCTCGCCGGAGGCGGAACTGCCCGCGGCTCCGGAGCCCGCCCCCGACGAAGACTGATGCGGGTCGCGGCTCGAGGAAGCGGCCACCTCCGAGCCGCCGACTGCAACCGGCACCAGAACGTCAACACGACAAGTCCTTGGGGCGCAGGCCGTAAGCAAGCAGGCCGAACGGCATGGCGGCACGGCACCTACCCGAGTGCGGCGACGCCGGCGAGGCCGTGGAGGAGGGCGAGGCCAGCGCCGCGGGCCTCGGCAGCGCGAAGGGCAGGCCGCCCAGGGGCAGGCCGCGCAGGCCGAGCCCCAGCGGGGCCAGCGGCCCCAGCGGCAGCGGCAGCCCCAGGAAGCGGCTGCCGGGCCGCGGCCTCTCCACCGAGTCCACGTCGTCGTCCACGTCCAGCGGCGCGTCCGAGTCCGAGTCGCTGGGCGCCGACACGGCCGCTGCGACAGAACAGGCATGAGGAGCACGCCGAAGGGTCCCTCCCCAGGAAGCTGAACGCGCGGCGGACGGGGCGGATCAAACTCCCACGGAACGCGTTGGCGTTAGGGCTGGGAACAGCGCCCCGCAGCTTCAAGCGCAAGGACGCAGGACCCGCGGACAGCAGAGAGCGAGGAAGGCAGGCACGCGCGGCCAAGTCGATTGCGGACGAACAAAAAGGAAGGGCTAACGACGATCTCGAGAGCAGTGCCCGCTCCGCTTCCCGCTGTTCTCGGAGTGAGCCAGCGCTATCTCCCTCCCCCTCGCCCTCGCCAAGTGCCCACCCCGCCGGGCCCAGCACATGCTCCACTCGACTCGGCTCGCCCGATCCTTTCCCACAGGAGCATCTTCAAGAGCGGAGGGGCTGCGTGCCGCGTGCCGCGTGCACCTCGTCAGCCTGCGGTGCCGGCGATGCTGTCCCGGCCGACGCGCGGGTGGCCGCGTTGCCTGCCCGGCCTTCCGCAGGCGCGCCAGGCTGCCACACTTGGCCGCAATGCTCACCTGCGGTCCTCGCGGCGAACACGTCGCCCAGCAGGTCCCGGATAAAGAAGGACTTGTGCGCGGCGCGGATGTCGTCCTCGCGGCGGTGCCGGAAGAGCTCCTCGGCGCGCAGCCCCGCCTGGAAGCCGCCCTGGAAGGCGCTGTGGAGGCCGCCCTGGAAGCCGCCCTGGAAGCCGCCCTGGAAGGCAGACGGGAATGCGTCCTCCAGCCGCCGGAACTTGGCGCGCGGGTCGGCGTCGTCCGCGTCCACCTCCTCGGCCGTCGTCGTGTGCCTTGGGGTGGCCGTCGTCCGAGCACTCGCGGTCCTGGTCTCGTTCCCGCGGTCGCTTGCGGCTCCGGTCCCGCTCTGCGTCCCGCCCGGCGTCCCGCTCCGCGTCGGGGTCGCCGTAGTCCGCCGACAGCCGATCCTGCGGGCCAACGCCACAGTTGTTGCCGAAACGTGTTGCTCGCAAGGGGCGCGGAGGACGCGGAGAGCCGCTCGTTACCTTGGTTACCTTCATCTCGTCGTCGAGCCGCGGCAGGCGCGGCCTGGCGAGGTCGTCGTCGGGGCCCGGCCTCGCCTCCATGTCCGCCTCCGTGTCGGCCTCCACCTCGGCGTCGTCCGGGCAGTTGGCCCTCATGGCGCCTCGCCCTCTCACGCCGTGTCCATCGCCCCGGCGGCCTCACATTCTTGGCGGCGGTCTTGTCGGAAACGCGCACACACGCACTCGCGCACACACACGCGCACAGTCTGCACTTGGACGCGACTCCGGGTCACATCGCCGCCGACGGCCGAGTGGCTGCGAGTCCACCGCGAAGGACTGCTTCACCTGTCCGTCGCGCTGCACCGCGTTGCACCAAGCTGCACTAGGTCTCGGAGCGCGGTGCGCGGTGCGGCTGCCGTGCGGTCGGCGGCGCGGTCGGTAGACGTGTGGTCCTGGACATCTCGCCGCCAGCCGCCCGCCGCCCACGCCATTCACCCCACCCCCGGCTCCACCCCCGGCGCCAACCCCACCCCACCGCCTCGGCCGGCCTCGGCTCGGACAAGCTTATCTCCCTCTCGTCTCCCTTGGTCTACCTGTCGATCTTTCGACGTGTTCCACCTGTGTCGCTCCACTTCCGGAGCAGGACCGTCGGTGCTCTTTAATGTTTCTTGCGGAGAAAGATGCGTCTCATTCAGTCTGCGACCGCCGAGCACCACACGCGTCATTCGTCGCAGGCACTCCTCCATGTCCCCGCAAAAAAAAATGCAGGAGCTTCAAAACGGGCGCGCAAGAGTCGTACAGAAATGGACCTGCAAATTTGGCATCCCTAGCCGTCCCTTCGTCCATGCAGCCCGCTCGGACTCGGACTCCTTCCGTATAATCACGCTATTTTAACCCTTTCCCTCCCACTTCCGGTCCAGAGTGTCCCCTCCCCTGCCCGCGAGGCCGCCACGCTGGAGGGCTGTTTGTCCAAAGTGGGGACTGGGAGCTACGCGAGCTACGCCGCGGCCGCTGCGCGCTGCGCGCCGACTGGAGGTCGAGGGGGTTGGTGGGCGTGGCCTGCAGCCCCGCCGCTCGCCCCCATTGGCCGCCGCTCCCCGCGACGCGCTCCCATTGGTTGAGGGTCCTGAGGGTCCGGCCGGCCGGGTGCTGTGCTGTGCTGCGGCCGCGGCCCGCACTCCACCCGCTGCTAGACCTGAGCCCGAAGGCCGCGAGCAAGTAAACTCCTCTCACTCAACTGGACGTCGCGCCGCGTCGCGCTCATCATCGCGGTCCTCCCACCCTCCCCGCCCCGCCGGCCGCGACTTCCCGCCGCCTCCACACTTCCGGGCACGGCTGTGTCGCACAGCAGCACTGGGACTCGTACGGAAAAGGCGCGAGGGCGAAAAATAAAAGGCCAGACGGACCGCAAGGGCCTTCCCTGTCCCTCCCCGGGAGTCGCCGCACCGATAAACGAAGGAGGGAGGGGGAGGGGCAGGCTGCGGCAAAGGGTGAAGGGAAGGGAGGCAGCGCCCTCTCTGGGCCCTCTGGGCTGGGCGCTCTGGGCGCGCAGTCGGGCCGCCAAGGGCCTCGTTACTCGCCACTCGACACAAAATGATGGCGATTTGCAAGAACAGGATGGACTCGCCTAACAGGGAAAGGGGCGGGAAGAGGTGAGGACATTCAAGAAAATGCGGCATTGCTTTTGTATTTGCTTATTTATTTGATTTTTTTATACAGTAAACATATTTTGTTCATACTAAGATCTGCTCACAACAAATTAAAGCATAGTTGGGCTTACTTTGCAGTTAAATCGAGCATGAGTGGTTTAACAGTGAATTTTTTAAAAATCAATAGAAATATTGTTAAATAAACGAATGCAAAAATCACTTCCACCTTGCACAATCGTCACCCAAATACAGATAATAAAAAGTAACACCCTAAAAATTACAACATTTCATAAAATTGTACATCTATAACATGCTTCTTCCTCATTGCAACACAAGGATTAAAAAAAAAATTGTATTCTGCCCTCCTGCCTCAAAACATAGACATTATAAATGCAAATTAATATACAACCGCAATCCAGTACTGGGTGATGTTGCTGAGACTTTCAACATTAATATGGTAAACTTCAAAAATATAATCTGCACATTTAACTACAGATAACAGATCTCATGGTTCCATCAACACAGTTCAGTCTTCAATGAACTGAAAATTGATCCCTTACACACCATTCCCTGTATTTGTGATTCATTATCAGTAGTAATAGATCTAGGGTGGCACGTGCAAGCACAGTACAGTCTCAATGAACTGTAGATAAGCCCCTCAACTTAACTTTTTCCAAGAGGCAATAAAAAACCTAATTAGTGAGTGCAAATGTAGGCTTCCAGATGGTTAAGGCACAGTTAAAAGCAGAAACTTTCAAATATTTCTGAACATGCCAATTGAACAATGCAGTCAACTAGTATACAAACATACAAAAAGGGCATCAACATTTGGATGAGGGCAACCTCTTCATAGTGGCATTACTATCATATTTAATCAATGAGAGTCTTTTGAAGTAATTCGTGTAATAGCTACAACAAAAATAGAGCACATAGTAGCTTATCACTTACACATAATTTAAAACTAAGATTCTATATGTCATGACTGTGAGTCTGCACATAACTAAAGGGTTATAGTATCCTTTCTCCAATTTAAGATGTACAATACGCTTCAACATATTAATTGTGATTATAATAATAGCAAAATGGAAGAATCATCAAATGCCAAACAGAATTCTTATTATCAAGCCACTATCTAAGATAGCACCCATAAAACAACTATCATCTCAAGAGAAGAAAATTTAAAGAATGATAAAATGAATCAAGTCGGGTGGAAACAAAGCCCTGGCTTAGGCTGCCAAAGGTTTTTTTTGGAAAAGGTACAAAATCTCCATTTTCATTTAGAATCTTTGGTGACTTTACTATTTGTTGAATGTCAATGAAACATGAATGACTGATACTGATAGGCTGATAAGAAAGCATTGCTTGAAAACTTCTACCACGGATGTGGATTTTGAGGAGGCATCTGGTGAGGGGGCATTTGCTGATATGGAGGATAACCTGGGTACTGCGGTTGAGATGGAATAGGGTACCCATATCCTACAACAAAAGAGGAAAACTCACTTTTAACGTAACATGTAGACATAAATTTCAGAATTTAAGCAAATGAATGTCTGTGTATCCCCCAATGCTAGCAGAAACTATTAGAAAAGGGACAAAAATAAGAAAATAAAACAAACGTACTTCTAAATTAAAATTTTATGATAATTCACATTAAATCACACACTTAAGAAATAAATCACAAAATACGTTCTAAACTATAAGGTGGTTGGTCAAATTTTCAAAAGGTGAAGCATGTATGTGAGAGCACAATGCTCAAGTAGTTGATTTTTTTTTATTGATAGCAAAGAATATATATAGAATCAATCACGGGGAGAGGAAAATGGCCACAAATCAGATTGATTATCCTTTTGACCACACAAAAGTTGGAGAGAATGATTAAAGTAACTAACAAAAAAAAAGTAAAGTGATGCAACATCTCTAAGATTGTAAACAAAGAACAGAAGAAAAAATAAGGAGAAGAGTTTCGACATAACAAGTATGTAGCTAAACTAAGTAGTAAGCAGAAGCTTGGGCAGTACACAAATGAGATTGTAATTTGTTCTTTACAATGTAATGTGTGCTTCAATAATTATTATTCCTGATAAAAATGGCAAAACTCTCAACAAGTTTAAATGGAAACCTAAAAATTAACTTCATGAGATTCCTTTGTCACAAATATTTTCTTCATGAAACAAAATAGAAGAGGTCAACTGCATCAAGTCAAGAGTGACCATGCAAGAACTGCCTCAATCTGATTTTTCTTAATCTTTGCCCAACTCTAAAGCACGCATAAAAAATAAAAAGCTAAAGCAAGTGCTACTAAACACAGATACATAGCTTCAAGTACATACACAAAAGGGCAAAAACAAAACAAAAAGAAGGTTCAATCACAGAACAAGGAGACAAGCACAAACAACATCCAAGAAAAAAATATAAAAGATAACACAACTGTAACATGAGATTAAAACAAAACGCTTATACGTGATATATGTACATGATAACATTGGGAAGCTTATCGATAAGTCCAATACTACACAAGAGCATAAATCAGTGCAAGTGCAATGAAAGCGTAAGGAAAAAAAAAGAAGAAAAATAGTGTCAAAGCTAGCTACTCTTCAGCAAATAGTGCAGTCGGGTGCAGCTGGAGTTCTATCCCCTCCATGTTTGGAACAAGGTTGGGCCAGGTCAGTGGCACTTGGCAGTGGAGGCACTTGGCTGTTCTCACCTTGCTGGGGGTATGGCACGTTGCCCATGGTGGCATAGGGGTTGTAGCTCTGGGGCATGGGTGGAGGCACATACGTGGGGTATGGCATGTTGTTTGAAGCCCCATAAGGGACAGGCATTCCGACAGGATATGCTGGGTATGGAAGTTGGGGCCCAGCAGATGAAGGTCCTGGCTGAGCAGCTGGTGCAGAACTGGGGGAAGATGCTGGCGGGGGAGGACGTGGTGGGGCAGCCTTCTTGGCATCTACAACATGAGAATTCAAAAAATTCAGGATAAATAATTAACCAGCTTAGCGCAAAACTTTTTAAGTTATCCTAATTTATTATTGATGAAAATTCATACCTGAAATTCCTTCACCTGGCTTCTCATTTGCAATATTCTCTACAAGTTCATTCACTTCTGTCTTACGAGCAAAGCAGAAATCAGAAATCTTGTTTTGGAAGACCACAAGGAGCTGTAACAGATTCAAAGTTGTGTTAGAAATACATTTTTAGCTTGTCTGAATATCAGTGAAAATTATATTGAGCAACAAAACGGCTCATACCTGGGTGAGGTCATTGTAAAATTTATTTCCTTCCTTCAAATTGCTTTGAAGTTCCATAAATGCATCATGTGCAGCAGCTAACTGCATCAGCATTTGCTCTCTGTGTTGAGAAGCTCCTCCTGCAGAGTTCTTCTCAAGGACAAACTCATTGTTTTTGGTCTGAAATCAAATCAAATTTTGTTGTGAGACACATAGAATGAGGATTAGGATAAGCAAAATAGTTAACCAAATTGTGGCCATAAATGACAAACAGGCATGTCATACCTGAATCTCAGCAACGAGTCTTTCCTGACGTTGCAATGAATCTTTCACTTGCTGTTGCAAGGGACTGAAAGCCCTGCCAAGACTCTCCATGCTTATGGCGGCTTCATTGATAGCCCCATCTTGAGCTAAAGCTGACAAAAATGTTGATTTCATATCGATGGTTGCTGATTTCAATTCTGATTCAATTGCAGCCCGCTCTGCCTTAATAACCTCCACCTAAAATAATTTACGACCATAAAATTAGCAGCACAAATGAAACATTTTGAACAAAGAAGATAAAATAAACAAGCCAACTTGATTAAATTTTAAGAAAAATACACACATCTTCCATGAGTTCCTTGAGCCTGCGGTATGCAGCACTAGTTGAACTAACACCACCACTACTGCCACTTGGTAGAGCTTCGCTCATCGCACTTTCGCCTCCAGACAGTAACTCCATCGCTTTCACATGGGTGTCGAATTTCTCACGGACAACCTTGTCTGACTGAACAGCAGTGTTTATGATCTCCCTATACTTAGCCAAGTTGGCACGGAATGTTTCCGTCAGCTTAACAGATGGAGTGCGGTTCCATGACTTGAACCGCTCACGAAGCTGATCGTCTTGCTCTTGTTCTTGATTGAGCAATCTTTCAGCCTACAGACAGAATATTGCATTAAATAGGATCTTTGAGGTAACAAGAAAGGGAGGGTGACTAACAAGAACAGATAACTTACCTCTACAAGAATGTCCCTATTTCTTTGCAAAAGTTCAGGAAGATCAGTAATTTGATTTTGAAGTGCAGTCACGCCACCCAAGGCAATCACTGCATTTGATTTATCAACCAAGGAGTGGGGAACAGCTGCGCCCGATTCTTCCTCAAGAGCTGCCGGTAAGTTTAAGGATGCAAGAATACTGCGAGAAAGGTTAATGTAAGACAAATTAAGTCACTGTTTGATATAGTTACTGGGAAGAGCAATGGTCTCACCTGTTTAACATATTGGTAGCATCTCTCAACTTGGACACTTCCCCATTCACTATTTCTGACTTACGAACATCATATGCAGCCATGGCTTGGTGAACAGTGACAGGTACAAGGTTCTCAAATAGATCTGCAAAAAGTGGGCCATTGTTCAGTTAGACTAGGTAAATAGTAGCTCAATTGACTGCTTAGCAAGCAATTAAAAAATTACCTTTGAAGTTATGACTCAGTCGCTCAGGTAAAGGAAGGGCTTTCGCAATAGCAGCTTTAGCAACAGGTGGCAAATTTTTGTAGTCAGGAATTCGCTCATGGTAAATGAAGTCATTATCTTTTTTGGCATCGTTTAGAGCCCTTGTAGCCTTGTTGGTAAGTTCCTCAAAGAGAGAAGGGTGACCCGAACGTTGCTGACCAGCTTTTAACAACTCCACAGCTTTCTGGAAAAAGGGAGTGACATACATGTCATCGGCAAAAAGAATTATGCAGGTAGTGTTCAGAGTAGTCAATGAAAATTTTAACTACCTCCAAGCGAGAGATCTCTTCACCAATAGCTTTGTTCTCATGGGCTACTAATCCCTGATAGTACTCAGTCAAACCATGGAAAGATGCTTGTTTTCCAGCAATCTGGAGAAGAAACATTTCATCTTTCATTAGTATCCTGTATCCTGGTTACGGAAGATTCAGAAACATGAAGCACACTCACCAGAGAAATCCATTCTCGTTCCCACAAAGGCTTTAATTGTTCCTTCTGCATGGCTTTCATGGCTTCAGAATAATATTCTTCGCATTGAGCACAAAGCTTAGCAATAACAGCAGGCTTCATGTTATCTGAAAACAGTTCAGTGGCAAATGGTAAGCAACAGAACAGCATCCATCAAACTAGAATTTAGAATAGATTTCACATGAACTCACCATGAATGGCTTTTTGGACAAACATTTCTTGAGCTTGAGCAAGCATTATAGCACTCAAAGCAGCCAAGGTATCTGGGTTCAGATCAGGGGTTGGGTCCTGCTGGATTGCCAGCATCACAGTTCCCTTGAGATGGTGAAAAATTCCAGCAGATAACTAAATAAAACGAAAAAGAAAAAAAAATCATAAACAAGAGGGGGTAAAAGTTAAAGATAACATAACACCAAAGGTAAAAATTGTCTTAAAAATTACATTAATTAAAAGAATACCTGAAATAGTTTAGCAGCGAGTTTCAGTCCTTCGTCGCTGACTAAGCTTTGAGACGCTGCAACTGCACTCTGCAAGGCAGCTATATTAAAAAGGACACAAACTTTTTCGTAGCTCAAGGAAGACACAGCTGGAATTTTAATAAGGCAGGAGACATAAGATATTAATAGGTATACTTTCAATGTAATATGTACGAGATTACTTGACATTGCACTTACTTAGGCTGATTCTACCACCAAAAAATGTTCCTCTATCAAATGCATCCTTCCATTTGAAGGGTATTTGAACTTCATGTGCAGGAACTTTGGCCTCCAGGGCACACAATTGATCATAATACCTGTGTGATAATTTCAAAAATTGTAGTTCTGAATGAAGTTCACGGGGAGTACTATATATGTATAAGCAACAAAATAATAATTCGATAAGGATGTAATTTTAGCAACAAAATCATGTTTCTTAACTCATTGAACAACCAGTAAGCTTGTCAACAAATAATGTACGGAACAAAGCCACTACAGAATTTAAGATAAGGTTGGTGAGTGATATAAGGTATGAGTCATCGTGCATAACAAACATACACGACACACCAACTCGAGCATGAATAGACTGTAGATGAAATGACAATTTGATGTGTATGAGCCATTAAACTCAAATAAAAACTTACATGTAAATAACCTCCAGTGAGCTCTCGTACTTCTCGAATACCCTCCAGACGGCATTGTTCCGAATCTTACTGAGTTCTGAAATCGCATCACCATAATCTTCCGGCTTGTCTGCCGTACTAAAAGAAGCGGATATTAAGTTTTTAAGTGGTTTGATAATATCTACATCGGTCGGCTTCTTTAGTGGCACCGAAATAAATTCCGCCATCGTACAAAGGGATTTAACTCTACACACTGCACTGTTGCTTTGCTTGTCGGTTGTTTCTGCGTTGCGTTCTTGCGTTCTTGTTCTTGTTCATGAGTCAAAGTGTCAGTTGATGTCAGTTCTTTAGTTCGTCGGATCGCAGACGCTGCACTAGAGCGCTAGTGACGCGAGTGAGAAATTCGAGAGTGACCAGCTCGGCTTTGGGGAGTTCCAGAACGCGCCTGTTAGTGTCTGCTAGGCCTAAAGATAATGTCTCCCTCTCACAATGTTGTGAATATTGTTTTCTTTTGGTTGATTGTTCTGTTTTAATGTTTGTGTGCGCATTCAGCCTATTTTCTAGCAGAATTGCGATTTTCAAACGAGATGAAATCACTGTCACCACAGCAAAACGCCATTTTTGCTTTTGAAAACAGATCGGAGAGTCCTTCAAGGGACGGGTAGTGGGCCAGTTATTATTTATTTTTGGGTTGTTTTTCCTTCGATCAAGAGTTTCGTTTCGTCGATATATTTGGATCCCACGTAAGACTTTGTACTAATCATATTATTCATTCATACGTAGTAATTGCTCTTAACGTTGCAAAATTACATAAAGAGTCCATATGTCATTGATGTCTGCTTGGAATATTGTTTTGGTCAAAAGTTTGAAGGTCTTGGTCTGTAATGTTATGGATAAAGAGTTATTTAGTTACTTTCTCATTACACTGGTGACCCTTTTTACTTCAAATGAGCTCCTAGTGAGCAGTAATCAGTTTTGAAGTACTTCTTTGGGCAGTATTCAATGAGAATTAGATAGAGAAATAGGTTTTTCTTATAGTACCCTCCGTGTACATACGTGTTGTTTTCATTTTTCAGGTTTGCATCACAATGCCAGTCATTGAGGGAGTTGGTGATGAAGTCTTTAATGTCCTGCTCATAGCACTTATTGTTGTTTTGGGCATTGTTGGATGGTGGTCGACAAGTATATCAGAACAGCCCCTGATCCGAACAGTGCTTATTCTTGAACCTCGGCATCATGCTGCTACTGAAACATCAGCAAATGTTATAGCTCCAAGCCCTCCACAAGACACTGGACAACGAGATCCTACTCCGACTATTGAGGTGGCCACTGAAACAACTTCTGTGCCAAACACTTCTTCAACTGCATCTAAAAACCAGAACCATGGATCTCAAGAGCAACAATCAGAAGCTGCTGGAGGAACTGATCCCAGCTCAAGTTCTGGACAGAGTTCTGAGGGTGCTACCGCAAGCGCTCCCCTGGCTTCTAATGAAATCAATGAGTCAAATGACTTGCCTGGTAATTCAGATGTGCCTGGTAATTCAGATGTGGGTGAAAGTTCTTCCGAAGTGTCAACCAATGCAAATGAGTTAAGAAGAAGGCGACTGCAATTTTTTGAGGAAAAGCATGGTGTTGACAATTCAACAGATGCAAGCTCCAATCAAGCTGAAAGTTTGAATGAAAGAGGTCCAGAATGTGCAGTGGCCAGTAGTTCTTCCAGCAATACTCAAGAAACAATAGAACATAAAGAGACTTCCCATGAAAATGAATCAAGCTCTTCTGACCCCTGCCTAGCTTGTGATGATATTCGAATCAAACTGAAATTTCTGAATGACAACCAGAAAATGGTTCAAGGAAAGCTTCAAGAACCTCTAGGAGATTTCAAACGGTGAGCAGTTTTTACTTTAAATATTTCTGATAGTAAGAAAGCAACTAACATAAAAGTGTTGATTCATTTGATGTTTTTCTTTCAGGCGTAATTTTGCAGTTGAAATGGCAGCTCGCAAAGTAATTAGGCTTATTTTCAACGGTCAGGTTTTACAGAGTGACGATAGAACTCTTCAAAATTATGGATTATTTGATAACTGTGTTGTACACTGTCTGGTTCACAATCAACGTGGCACTAATCAAAATGTTGACAATGCCGCCAATGGCAATGTGAGTATTCTTAACCGATTTCTTTCCCATCGTTATGATCAACAATAAAAGTCTTATCTATCCTTTTTTTTTTCCAGACTGGGGAAGATGTGAATTTGGGGGGAGTAGAAATGGGTGAGTTAAGGGAGTGGGACATGAGTAGTGTACTGTATATCTCGACCTTTGTGATTTTGTCTGCCATTTGGTACCTACGCATCAATTTTTCTCAAATGTTCTCTGCCACATCAACTGTAGCATTGTTTGGCCTGTCAGGAATTTTTGTCATATTTCTAGTGGGCATGTACATTCCAGACCAAGAAGTTCTGCGTACCTGATTGTGGGAGGAGGCGGCTGACTTAGACCGCCTCTTGTGTATTTTTGTGATTCATATGGGATACTTCATGTCATTGGTTTCGGTAACAGCAAATGCAGTGGTTCGCCACTATCTCTATGAAATACCTGAGATCTATGATGTTTGGACCTGATGCTCCAGATTTATGAATAAAATGCATAGTTAATGGAATGCTTGCTTTCAATATACTGAAATCAGACTTTCAATGATTGTGCTGTTGATTTCACAATATTTTGTCAGCTTATTTTGTATTATTTATTAAAAGTAATTTGAAAACTTGTTTTTTCTATCATTTTTCTGAATTTTTAATTTTATTATTAAACTTCTATACTCTGTGAGGTGTTGTTTTTTGTTTTTTTTACACTTCTCTTTGGCAGACGAATATTTAGGTCCAATTTTGATATTTATTGTAAGGTAGACGTAGGAAATGCTGTTCACTTTCAGAGCTTATTTCTCTACCCACATGAATGTACATGAATGTACTTGCTATTATTTATCACATCTTCAAGTTCTAAGCAGCTAGTTCCGCACTCCTCTTTCACCCCAACTCTCCCTGCTGCAGTGCTCAACTTTCATTGAATTTGGTGATGAGGATTAATGGTACTCTTCTCATTTAAGGGACATTTCAGCTTTTTTGCTGACACAGCAAATGAGCTTTTTTTTTCTTTATGTCAAGACATTGGTTAATTTGTACAGAATTTGCTCACTAAAAATACTCTGTTCAGTGCTGATGTGTACCTTGACAGACTTTGGTTAGTGCTTATTTTATTTTTAAATTTATCTTTATGTTAAAATTATGAGTTACCATTGTTGATTGTGCATATTTATAAGTTTGCCTGTATCAATTGTTCGAAATTACAACTTGTGTATGGTATAGGTGTATTGTGAAGTCTCAGAAGACCGATTCATTCTGAACAGAATTTGTGTAAAGGAGTAAATTGAGTGTTGGTGAAAGGTCCTATTGTTTGTTTTCCTACTTCACGTTTTGTTTTTCTGTATTGCTTTGTGAACTATGTGCCATTGTCCTCATATATTTGCTGTGAGGAATGAGATGTGAGCCGGTGACACCTCCCTTCTTCCTCATCTGCTTGTCTCTTTTGCTCTATTACCCTATTACCTCAGTTTTCTCATTGTGATTGCTAATAAGACCCATGTTTTGTCTTCCCTAACTATCCTGGGAAGAGTCTTGGAAAATTTGCTTGTGGTTGTAGTTAGTCAGTCTGTCCATTCATTTATTGTTTGTTAAAAAAATGATTTGATCTAAAATAAGCAGTGCGAAAAAAAGGACACGACTTTAGAATGCATAATCAGTAGAGTGGGGTAAGAAAGAATGATCTCCTCTTCTGGTTTCCAAATTTGTTTAGTGTTCTAAAAGGTCGTCTGAGATGTTGTTCCTCTTCACCCTATGCTCCAGTCTAGTCACAAGCTGGATACACACATTGTAAGGAGACTGACGTTCCAAACTTGCTCTACAGGTGTCTGCTTTAACCCTCCAGGTAGATAATAAAAACAAATAAAAGGTTTTGTATCTAACTTTATTTCCATGCTTTAAAAATTAAACAAAATACATCAACACGGGCCGTGATGATTCAAAAAGTTCAAAAACGAGCCCAAAGTCTCATCCATCAGTTGTACTAAAAAAATCACAGTAAAGTCAGTTGGCCATCAGCAGGTGCAGCCAACTAAAAGACCCTCATGTCTCCGGAGGTTGGACTCACAACGTCCTGGTCCGGAGCACGCCGTGGTCCTCCTTAATCATGTCGGCCGCCTTCTCGGCGATCATGTACGTCGGCGTGTTGGTGTGGCCCGACACGATGCTGGGCATGATGGAGGCGTCGGCCACCCGCAGCCCCCGCAGTCCGATGACGCGCAGCCGCGGGTCCACGACGGACCGTGGGTCTTCCCTGGGCCCCATGCGGCACGTCCCGCTCTGGTGGTAGATGGTCTGCGGTAGGTGCTTGATGTGGCACCGCCAGTACTTCCTCGTGCCAAAGCTGCCACACAGAACAAAACGAAAAGTTGGTGACTTCTGTAGCCTCAAGCCGGACATAAAGCCACACACAACCTACCGGAATTTGGCGCAGCCAGGCAAGGGCACGTCGAACAGCTTGGCCTTGATGTCCCCCATGGCCTTGGTGTCGAGCAGGCGCTGCACTGCGAGCACCCCGTCCACCATAGTCTCCAGGTCTTCATCGTCGTCGAAGTAGTTGTGAAAAATGAGAGGTTTGGCCATCGGCGACCTGGACCGAAGTGTGATGCGGCCGCGGCTCTTGGGTCGGAGTAACATGGGGAACACGGTACAGGAAGCAGTCCTTGAAAAAAAAAGGGAAACGTCAGAGAGTCGAGCTGATCTCAGGGTCGGCAAAAAATGTGGAACGCTTCACGATTTTGCGTGTCATCCTTGCGCAGGGGCCATGCTAATCTTCTCTGTATCGTTCCAATTTTAGTATATGTACCGCCGAAGCGAGTACGAGAGGGGACGGTCGCCTTAGCGTATATATACCGCGGGAACAGAACGGAGATCGCCACCGGTTGCGGCCAAAGTTTGTACGAGTGTAACTTCGAAACAATAGAACATCTAGCGCGACGATACGCATTTTTCTGTACAGTACTATGAGTAGAAGGACGCTGTAACATAATTTTTTGAAAAGACAGTCTTAAAATGCGTTAATTTTTGCATTAAAATCCATCTCTTCGCGACGTGATTAGACCGACGCGCCACCTAGTGCGGGGAATCTGAAACCACTCACAATAAGCGGGCGCGCTGAACTTCCCCCACCCCTCCGCCACCGTCCGCTTCGTCCGCCGCCCGCAGTCTCGGTGCTGCGATCGTCACTGGTACGATTTGTGGTTACTTGGGTACATTGTACTCACCCAACGTGCGGTCGGTACACCTTGTCGTACAGGTCGTTTGCGATGCCGAAGTTGTCCTGCAGCATGGGCTCGTCGATCAAGGAACTCGAGGCCAGGAGGAGCTCTACGTCGGGCACGTCGGCAAAGTGCCCCCTGAGGACACCGACCACCGGTCACAAGTCGTAGCAGCCGTTTGATTCCGAACGGGGCTGTCGTCGCTCTGTCTCTCTCGCCACTCGTGGGCCGTTCCGTACAGAGCGAGAGACGGCGAGAGAGACAGGCCAGGCCACTTACCCGGTGGCGTTATTACTGGCCTGCCGGCCCCCGCGGCCGCCGCGGAAGTCGCGCGCGCGGATGAAGCCCAGGGCCTCCGCGCCGCCGGGCAGGGTGATGGGGCCGCGCCGGTACTTGGTGTACTGGCCGATAAGGGCCGGGTTCTCCAGCACGCGCTGCAGGTTCACCGTGAAGCTCTTGTTGGCGTCCACCGTGAACATGACGCCCCCCGCAGCCACGTGGTCCATCAGGTTGTGTCCCACGGGCAGGTCCAGCAGCGGAGCCACGCCCACAGACTGAAGAATGAGTCAACAGTGAACGAGAGACGAATGAATCAAGAAAAGGCGGCCTTTCGGCTTTTCATTTGGAAGTAGTGTACCTTGAGGTGTTCGCGCGGCCCGATGCCGGACAGCATGAGCAGCTGAGGGGAGTTGATGGCGCCGGCCGCCAGTACGACCTCCCTCCGCGCGCGCACCACTTGCCGGGCCTTGCCGCCCTTGGCGCCCTCGCGGACGAACTCCACGCCCACCGCGGCGCGCGTCCGCCGGTCCACCAGCACCCTGGTCGCGCGGCTGTCCTTGCTCACGTGGAGGTTGCGTCGGCGTCGGGCCGGCTCCAGGTAGGCCCGGTTGGAGCTCCAGCGGGACCCGTTGCGCATCGTCACCTGCAACGCGCGGGGCACCGTCAACAGTCGTTTCCATCGCTCCTGTCTGTCCCGGAATCAGTCCACAGAGCCCTTCAGAGCGCGGTGGGGCACTGAGGTCGTCGAGGGGCCTGACCTCGGACGCCTCGGACACGCGGACACTCACCTGCAGGAAGGAGAAGCCGGCCATGTCGGCGCCGTTGTAGTCCCTCACGGGGTAGCCGAGCTCCTGCGCCGCGCGCACGAAGGCCTGCGCCGGCTCGGACCGGTACGGCGCGTGGCTGATGGTGACGGGGCCGCCCACGCCGTGGTGCACCTTGTCCCGCGCCAGGTCCGGGATGGCCATGTCCTCGAGGCGGAGGAAGTACGGCATGACCGCGTCGAAGTTCCAGCCCGGGTTGCCGAGCCGCTCCCAGTGGTCGTAGTCCTCGCGGTGCCCGCGCGTGGAGATCATGTAGTTGAGCACGCTGGACCCGCCCATCACCTGCGGAGCGTTCCAGTAGTGAGGGCGGCATGGCCAGAGGGTGCCGAACAAACGTCATCACTGCCCGAGGTGCGTAACTCTGGGCTGCCCCCGCTTCCAAACCGACAGGCGCCAAACTCGGTCATTTTCTGCATCCGCGGATGACCGTGCCATTCCGGCAGCCCGCGGCAGCGATATCACGCGCAGCATCGGCGCTGGGGTCCCCGCCGGTCCCCGCCGGCAGCGCGGGCACCACAGGCACGTCGCAAGTCGCGGCCAAGAGACCCCACGCGTCACGCACGCCAAGCCGGCCGGCGCCGCGGCCCACGGCGGGACTCGAGCTGCGCCCCGCGCCAGATGAGTGCTGGATAACGACAACCGCGGGGCTGGCAGTGAACGGAACGTGTCGATTTGGAGGTGGATTGGGAGGAAAGAGAAGAGGACGAGCAGCGGCAGCGACCGTCAGTTGGCATCGGTATCGGTTTGCCCATGTCCGCCGCGAAACCAAACCCACGAGGGCTGCAGGGCGGGTCGCGGGTCGACATCCGGGCCACGGATGCCGCGGATGCAGCACACCTGCTAGTATTCGCCCGGGGGCCCTGGCCCAGTCCCAAGCCCAGGCCCAGGCGCCCACCCGACCGCATCGCGCGACACTGAACGAACGCAAGCCTGCGAAGTGCGAAGCAACGCGCCACTTTGATCGCTCATAGGGTGCGTCTCTGCCGTCATCACCGCTGCAGCTGCACCGCTGCACCCTTGCCGTGCCATCGGTCATTCACTGAACTGCGCGGCCAGGGAATGCCCGGGGCTGGGCCGTGACGGAGCCATTGCACCGCAGCCAGCCCACATGGGTGCAGCACCCTTCGCCTTGTCATCCCGTCGCATTCGCTGACCGGCCAGGGAATGCCCGGTGCGATAACCAGCAACCAGCGCCCCGGGCGGCGGCAGTGCGGCAGTGCAGGCGGCAGTGCAGGGGGCGGTTCAACGCTCGGCACCTCGCTGTCTCTAGTTGCAGGCTGCAGAGTCGAGGCGCGACGGTGGGTACAGGGTACCTACCTTGCCCCTCGGGTAGTTACAGCGACGGTCCTTCATGCCCAGGCAGGCCTTGTCGGAGGGCTGCGTGCGGTACTTCCAGTTGGCGTGGCTGAACTGCAGCAAGTGCGCGGCCACGGGCACGTCCATGAAGATGTTCTCGGCGCCGCCCGCCTCCAGCAGCAGCACGTCCCAGTCGGCGACTTCGCTGAGCCGCGCCGCCAGCGCGCACCCCGCCGTGCCGGCGCCCACCACCACCACGTCGTACTCCGGCAGCAGGTCGGTGCGGTGGGGCGGCTCGTGGGGCGAGCGCTCTGGGATGTGCAAGACCTCGTACACCAGCGCCTCGAGCAGCGACGGCGACATGTCGACGGCGGCGGCCCGCTGGGCGACCACGGCCGAGGCGCACAGGGCTGCGAAGCCCATCGCCCACGACGTGCGCGACGTGCGCATGGTGGCTTGGGTGGTCGTTGAGGGAAGAAACAGCTTCCAGCCCAGCCAGCCTCTCTCTGCCTCGCCGGCCTTGCCGCGTCCGCCGCCTGACTGGACGTTAGAGCGGACGTGCGAATAGAGGGGCGAGGGGCGCCACTCCGCTCGCTATCTTGGCCCGCCTCAACCGAAGGTGTACCCCGCGGGGGGCCTTGGTGGGCCCCAGGTACCCCTACCCTGGCCAGCCAGCCACAAGGGGCCCAGGGGCAAAACTCCTATTACGCAGTACGCTCCAGGGTGGATCTGGGGACCCGGAACGACTGAACCCCTCAATTTTCATCCCACCTGTGCAGTCCAGTCGTCCAAATCCCGCATAGCTGACCAAGCCCTTGCTTACACCAAAAACAAGGAGATGTCAGGTGGGGTCTTCAAAATATCTCTAGAGTTACTTGTAATGTAAAGGCATTTATGTGTTTATATGTTTATGAACCAGCTCTATTGGTACTTTCAAAATAAGAAATACAGACTTATGAAGTTTTGACCGTCTCAGGGCGCAGAGGAGGACTTTGTGCTGTGCGCGTAGAGAAATCTATCATTCATGGTTACCCAACTCATCAAAGAAGACGTTGTACCAAATGACACATGGCCAACTTACTGTTTTCTCTCAATACAATAGCAGTCAAAATGCAGCATACCTTCCATTTTACTATACGTTTTGTACAAATTTGTTTTTATGACTTTGATTGATGACAAAGTGACAAAGTTTGTTAAAATAATGTATTTGACACAGAGGCACAGAATGATACAGAAAACTATTGAATTTAAAAAGATGAGCCCGACCGTGTTTTCTTGGGTTGCTGCCTAGGGGATCGTCTCACAGAATTTTCTTTTGAAGGGTTATGCTTGGTTCTTCTTGTTGGGGATGGATTAACTTTTTCAGCTGCAGTCACTTGAGTATCAGGTGAGGATCTCTGAACATCTTCCTTTGAAGTAATCATTACTGCGACTGCGGACCTCATCAATTCAAGGGCATCAGCAAAGGTAGTAGGATAATCCCAACCATCAGGTAGAGGTAATACTTCTACTGCTTCTGTCTGTGCAAAACTATCAGTAACAGTAGCCTCATCACAATCACACTGAATACTAATGTCCTGCATTGATTTCATTTCAGATCCAAGTTCCTCTTCTTGGGATTGGATTTTTTTCTTGGAACTTGAGGGTGATTTACAAGTTTGAGAACTCCATTCTTCTGAGTCAGAATTACTATTTTCTGACAATCCTTTTTGCAGACAAGACCCATTAAAATTTTCAGTCTCATGTTCCTCTTCTTGAGATGGGATTTCTTCCATGACATCCTCTGACGATTCATCAGGCTGACAAGTTCCATTTTTACCTAACTTGGCTCTTTCTGTGGAACAAAATGAATATTGCTCATCCATTTCAATTGATGCATCAGAAGATTCTCCATCCGAAACTACAATTGTTTTAGATCTTCTTTTTTTTTGAGGTCGACTTAAATCCAAATCAGAATCAGAATCACTCTGAAGGTTTTCATTCACCTTCATTCCTTGAACATGACATCTCCTTTTAGTCTCCATTTGGGTTCTAAAAATCAAAGACAAAAGGAAGTTCATAAAGATATCAATAAACAGGCAGGTGGGCATTTATTACTCCAAAACACTCACGAAGCTTACCTGATATTCTCTACAAGCTCATCAGACAATTTGTAATCCTTCAGGTATGGATATATCTTAAGTCTGAAATGATTTTTTAAACTTTGCCATGTGTGAACGGAAAATCCCTGAACATAAAACAAAAATACAATTAATAAGACAAAATGAAAATGTGAGCAAGCAGACATGACACATTATCAGAATAAGAAACATACCTCAGCCATTTTTTCCCAAAAACTTTGGTTACTTATAACAAAATTTGAATTTGATACAAAAAAATCAACAATTTTCTGCCTATCATTTTGGCTGAAGTTGTGTCTGAGAAAGGTTCTGGAAACAGAGCAAGGTCAATCAAATGCAATAAATTTTTACTTGCACAAAAAATGTCAGAATACTACCTTTGATCATTTTTCTCAAGATTGGAACCATTCAAGTTCTCCAATTTAACAATTGGAACCTTGCCATTTATTTTGACACACCCTACTTTGACTTCAGCAATATTTTGGAGTGCACTGGAACATGAAAAACTATATGTAGGATTTTGCATCGGTACCTGGCACAAACTAAAAACATGACCCTTGAAACGTGTGCTTACTACAGGCGTTGAGCATCTTTCCAAGTCAATTTCTGAAGAAGAACATCATTTGGTTCAAAATCACTGATAAACATAGAATCTTGCAGCCTATGAAAATAAATATTCTGATTATCCAACTCACTAACATGGGAAAAAGACATATAAAAAGAAACTTACAAGTATTTCTTCAGCGGCAAGATTGTATTCATGATGCAACATTTGAGTATAAAATCAGAGCAGTACAAATCACGAGGTGGATTAAAACTGGTGACAATTTGAGAGTTTCTTGTATGAAATGAAATCGTGTACTGGCCTCCCCTCTTGTCAGTTCTACCACCGCCAAACTGTTAGGAGAAAAACGAAAAAAAAAAACAACAGAAAAACACAAATTTAATTTGACGATTTGTGAAAAAAATATTAAGAACTTATAAACATTACTAACCTCAATTATTGACTCTAATTCCTCAGCATCGTAACAACTTGAAACATCGAAGCATAGTGCAAGTCCATCCACCTCAAATAGATTCTGACGAAATGAGTAGGCCATGTCAATATCAACAATGTTTTGGTTGCTTGAGAAGAAAAGGGGTGTATGTTTTTGGGCGGGCCCCTAGAACCAACCATTCGCGTCCGCAAACTAAAGTCAGAGACCTCTGGTGGCTGAGCTGGAACTAAACATAGCGGGCGACGGAGCAGCGGGTTTTTCAAATTGGAGCTCTCTGTTTGGCCATGATTTTGTGCTTTTATTCGTATATTGCGCTTTCGATTGAATAAAATGGGTGTGACTTTTCAAAAATAAATGCTGCTCGCTGTTGTAGAAAAACGCTGTCTTGTATCAGATGCCTTTCTAATGTCTAAGAATGAGAGAGAACGTCCAGACCTAACCTAGTTGGCATGTTGTCGGTCCGAGCCATGCCTCCAGTGGCGTCTGCTCCAAGCGCTGACACGGGGAGGAGGGGAAAAGTGGCTAAATATTAAATTTAACAAATTAGAATTGCTAAAATCACGCTCATTTGAGGTCTTAGGAGTCTATAGCTTCCGTAGAGAATAAAGTCACAGACAAACAAAGTATAGAATCTAACGAAAGTACATTAATAACGAAGAGAACAAGCCACCTGTTTCGAAAATGGCGGTGCGCCGTCGCACGCTATCGGGGAGCGACGGTGCTGCGCTCTCGCGTCGTTGCGGACGCCAATTGAACTGAGTAGCGATTCTTGCAGAGTTTAGGTTAGGTTAGGTCTGTTCGGCGTGGCCAACGCACCGCCACGAAACTATGGGACGTGTTGGTGCGTCGTTTCTTGAGCAGAGGTGGGATGCGTATCGTGAGTGTAATGTCTTTGTGGTTTCTCAGGTGGCGTGAGGTATTTATAGCGGTTTAGTGCGGAATTAGTGAGTTCCATTAAATAGTTGGGCGGGCCCCCTGTTGGCTGCTTTGTGAGTTCTGGGAACCCAAAGTACGATGAATCACCCGGCCAACGCACCAGCACGAAACTGAGGGATTTGTTTGTGCCGTTTTTATGTGCGTGGGCCGCTCGCATTTCCTATGTGTGGTTTCATTTTGCGGTTTTGGTGTGGACTGATGGTGCAAGAGACGTAATAGGTGGCGTTTTACTGCCTTGCCAGATTTCGTTCGGTCCGTTGACGTTGGCAATAGCAATATAGATATAGCAATAGCAATCGCAATAGCAATAGGGAAGGCGACTGCAGACGTTCACCGCTAGGGGCGCCACTGGGATATACGCCACTAGCAGCCAGGCGGCAGCCGGCACGATCTCTGGCACGGATGCTGTTTTTGACTTATAGCTCTCACTGCAATTATCGCACATGTATGAAAACTAGCTTATTGGGAAGCTAGCAGCGTTGCCTACAATCGGCTCGCTTACACTACGGGTCTATCTTGCATGACAAAGAAGTTATGGGCGAAATTGGCAGACTCCTAGGGGCTCCCCTGGCTAAATCGTGGCGCGTATCCCGGTGCTATCCCTCTACCATGAGCTTGCCGTGTCGCCTTCCTCATGGCATACCGAGCTTAGGCCGCCCCAGTTATAGGCTATGCCTAGTGCTAGGTATTCGCTAGCCGTCAAGAGTTAGGTTAGTTGACTTTGTTGTTTGCGACGGTTGACACTGCCAATAAGCAGTGTACAGTATTTGCAGCTGGTAGCAGAAGCCGGAGGAAGCAGACGACACACGCATCACAAGACGACCCCAAACATCTGTTTTCGTTTGATAAGAAGAAGAACCCTGTGATGGTAGGTCAAAGTCCATGCAGATAAGGTTCCTATTTTGGACCTCCTTCCGAAAATATCTGGCTCGGTAACTCCGTAACAAACCGGCAGTCCTTTTTCAGGCTTCATCATTAGTTTCAAAAATGGCAAGTAGAGCTCATCTATCCAATTTTAGTGAAGTGGGCAGAAAAATTGTCGGTGCTGCTCTAAATTACAAGTGAGTGAACAGAATTGAGTTGTTTCTTCCGTTTTCTCCAAAGTTTGATGTTTGCTTTGTCCTCGTCAACCAACAGGTCACTGGCACATGATCTCAAGGTGCCTCACCCAGCGAAACCAATTATATTCTTGAAAGCCACTTCATCTTACATAAATGTTGGTCAAGTTATTGAGGTACTAGATGCAATTCTATGATGAATTTTTAAGCCTGATGTTGACACATACAAACATTTCAGTAAACGGCAGATTATTTTTTTTTGTTTTTATTTTTTGACAGGTACCAAAAGCTGAAACTGTCAATTATGAAGTTGAACTGGGCGTTGTCATTGGAAAAAAGTGTAAGAGAATAAGTGAAGCTAATGCCCTTGATTACATAGGAGGCTATTGCTTAGCTTTGGATATGACAAATGTCACACAAATTGTAAGTCTTCTTTGGTTGTGCGTTGCATGTGAGATGTTGATGTGTATCATAAAAAGACCGCTTTTTTTTTTTTTAGGGAAATGCTAAAAAGATGTCTGCACCTTGGGATCTTGGTAAAACATTTGATACGGCATGCCCAGTAAGTAAATTCATACCAAAAGAATCCATTAAGAACCCTGATGATGTCAAACTATGGCTAAAGCTCAATGGAAATGTTAAACAGGTATAGTGCAAAATTACAGTTAAGCTGCTTATGCCTAGTGGCTATGCTACTTATATTCCTCTCAGACTCACAAACCCCCTGTTTTCCATAATTTCAGGAGGAGAGCACAAGCGACATGATTTTTTCCACATCACAACTCATCAGTTATGTGTCACAATTCATGACTCTTGAACCAGGTGATCTCCTGCTCACTGGATCACCCTCAGGTGTGGGTCCTGTTCGCCCGAATGATGTTTTGGAATGTGGCTTGAATGATCTAGTGACCATGACTTTCTCAGTACGAGCAGTTGAATCCTAGTGGTTCATCACCACATTCTTGCAGTGGAGCATTATAACAATTTGAATGAGACTGATTTTTGGAAAGACATAAATAAGTTTTCTAAAATGTCTTTCTTCTTCCAGAATCTAGACATGATGTGAGAGCAATTTTTTAAAATGTAGACCAGCACAAGTTGAATCACCAATTTAAATAAATCAAAGTTATATATTTTATTCATAACTCAAAGCCTTTTTTCCTCCAATAGCTCCAAAATGTATTTACTCAATGAGCACAATGGGAGTCCCATAACAGTAAAATAATCACCATCAATCTTTTCAATAATGGAACCTCCAATTCCTTGAATTCCATAGGCTCCTGCTTTGTCCCTGAAATTGAGGATTGAGTTTACTACACAGAAATGAAAAGACATAAACAATAACTTAAGAGTAATGCTTACATGGGTTCTCCAGTTGCAATATAACTTTTAATGACGTCTGGGCTTAGTTTTGCAAAAAAGACTTTGGTGCTTTCACAGAACGATACAGTTTTATCAGGAGTTTTGAGGACAACGCCAGTGTAAACTGTGTGAGATTTACCACTCAACCTGTAAGAAACAATTACTTGAAACCACTGTATTCACAGTTTAGGAAACTCTCAATAAAGTCTCGAGTAAAGCACAGAAAAATACATACATGCTCAGCATTTCAAATGCATTCTCTGAGCTAGTTGGTTTTCCTAGCATTGTATCTCCCAAAGCAACAGTTGTATCACAGCCTATGATGAGATCTGGAGGCCTGACATCAGAAGCCAAACGCTCCGCAACTTCTAATACTTTGAATTTAGCAGTTTCAGTGACAAACACATCTGGAGCATACTTTTTAGGATCCAGGTTTTCTTCAAAGGTAGATGGGATTATTTCACACTTGATTCCCTGCGCAAGAAAATAAAAACATATTTGAAAGTTTTTCTATGCAAATGGTAGAGATAGAGGCGTGATAAAATAAGAATCAACTAACAATATTGTGTAGAAGTTCGCGTCTTCGAGGAGAGCCACTTGCAAGAATGATTCTTTTTGATGATAAAATATGTTTCACTGGTTCGAGCATCTTGTCGGCCTGTGCCTGATGTGCTGCTGAATCCAGTGGAATACTATACCACCTGTCGGAAAATAGCAAAATATTTAAGAACCATAAAAGTAGTAGCAGTCTCAAAATATTGAATGAATGAAAATCGGGCACTCACAGAAAATAAAAGCAGGAGCCCTCGCCTGATAAAAGACGCGACAGTACGGTAGTGAGTCAGGCGGCGGAAACAACAAACACGTGCGTGCATCCTGCAGACGACGTATCGTGTGTATAAAGGTGGCACAGCAGTCGCTTGTTTTCGCGCCAGTCCTTTAAACGAGACGCTCAAGTGTTCCGTTGGAAGGGAGAAACAATAAAAAAATATATCAATTTAAACAAAAGGATTCATGCATTTTTATTTTAAAAGGCAAAAAGATAAATATTTACATAGATGAACACCAGTTCTAGGAAAAAAGGAGTTCCTTGATGTATACTGATCCTGATCTAATTTAGATTTTCAATCTTCATCAGAAGAAGCTAGAGCCCACAAATCCATATCACTAATGTCATCTCCATATTTGTTGCGCAAATAATCATAGTACGTAAATACAGGGTCACCAAATTCATCATACTCCAGCTCGTCATCATCTGAACTATCCAGATCCACAAATGGAGACATTTCACTACTAAGAGCAAGAACAGCATAGGGTTTAGATCGACTCAATGCATCAAAAGCGGACTCTAATTCTAGAGCTGCCTCTTCACTTTCAACAATGATATCACACATGGTGACCACTCGCAGGGTAGGCAACTCAGATAACAGTTTTATGTGTTGACCTGTTATACCTTCGCAACAGTCAACTAATATTTCTCGCAAATTTGGGAAGTTAGTCATAAGCGAATTCAGAAGATAGTCAGGTAGGTTGATGTCAACCAAATTCAAAACAACAACATTTTTGCATTTTTGAGCCAATACATCAATAGTATTTGTAGACACTTCCGACACTAAATCAGAATTGAGCCCACGAGTCCAGCTACCCTTCAAAGTTAGTTTTGAAATGTGGGGTAAAATATTGGAGGACTTAAGGCTATCAACTGGCATATCACGTGGAGCACGAACTTCAATGAAGCCAACTTCAAGTGCATCCAGGTGGCTCATACTCTCAACAAGAGAAATATTTTTTTGAAGTAAGCGACATTTTAAAAGGCCATGGCATTCCTTTAGAGCATCGGCCACATCTTGGCTGAGATCTGAATCAAATCCAACTTGTACAAGCTGATCCTTTTTGCTTCTCAGAACATCCAGGATAATATTATCTTGACAAGGTTGATGGTTCATTACTTCAAACTTTTTCAATACAGAACATCCTTCCCCAAGTTGACCAGCATATCCTCGGAAACTGTTTAAATTACGAAAATCAAGGGCAAGGTAGTTAAGCTTTGGAGCTTCAGATATTATTTGAAGCAATTCATTTACACCTTCAAAGAAAGTTGCTGCTTTCTTGGAATCTCCGTCACCACAAGAAAATTTGATCGAGCGCAATGATGGAGCAAACTTTCGAAGCAATTTCAATGTGTAGGATTGCATCTTTTTAGTACAGTTGGGGAAAGTGTAGAAGTTTTTGACATTTGTATTGCCTTTAAGCAGAACCTTGACAACATTTTCCGCACAGGGATACATTGTATCAACCATACTCAAGTTAACTGAGCGCAGGTATGGAGCCACTTTGGCCATATTCAGAAGATGATTGCTGAGATTCCATGTAGCCGTAGTCATCACAGATGCTTTTTCCATTAGTCTGATGGGCACAACTATTAAATCAGCATAGCGCCAGGCATCAGGATGTTTCGATAGTTGATACCATCTCTTGCAAACAAAAGGAATATGTGAGACGAGATCAGTTGGGTGCATAAAGGAGAAAATTGTAGCCACCACATCATCGGGTAGGGTCACCGTCAAGTCGCTGCAAAAAGGCAAGGGTGAGAGTCAAAATTGGAAGGGTATAAACTAGGACAAGAGCAACAGGCTCAGCTTTCATTGCAATAATGGAGTAATGCACCAACTTATGACAATCCTAGGTGGCTTTCTCAGTACTCACCGCTCATCAGACAAACAGTCCATGACCACAGCTTTCCGAAGGTAACTTCTGAAAAGAACACGTTACACATAAATGGGCAGGTCGCATAGTAGAAAGACGATGAACACACTCAAATGACACTTTCAAATCCAGATCTCAAGTCTGGTTCGCCCGATGAGGTGGAAACGCACCTGGAGAGGAGCGCGGCTTTGTCGATGAGATTGACAGCAATGCTGAGGCGACTTTCGCTTCTCGCCTCGCTGGAATCGCGAATGGAATGATCGGAGATGCTACTGCGTTTGACACTGACGTTTTCACAGAGAGTGCGCAGAGTGGGTAGAGGTTAGAGGCCTCTAGGGCTGGGCACAACAACAAACAAAGCAGTTCCCGCCATCGGTAGCGAGTGCGAATAGCGGCTAGCTTTATACAAACGATACGTCGTCTGCAGGATGCACGCACGTATCGTGTGTATAAAACTAGTCGATATTCGCACTCGCTACCGATCATGGCGGGAACATGCGGCAAGTGTTTTGTGTTGTTGTGCCGAGCTCGAAGAATTGATGTACAGCTCTGTACAGCTGATCCGTCGAAGAGGTGTCTGCAAGGCCCCGACCCCGAATAAATTGTTATTGGATATGCATGTTTCAATACTCTAATGTGCACTGTAGTAGTGCGAATCTATGCTCTGTGTTTCTTTGACACTGGTTTTAAAATCACTGACGTTTGGGTCGGCTCCTAGGTTCGGCCATTGTTTCGGCCCGTGGGCTGTTGCTTCTTCTTCATTTTATTTTAAAACTAGCGGGAATATAAAGTGCAGATCACTTAAACGTCAGCACTTCTGTGATATCTTAGAACTAATCATGCGTCTGATCGTTGTTGGGGACTGTGTTTCATTGAAGCGCAAAACGGTTTGTTCAATTTTTTGTATTGGCTTACGACACCATTGTACATGCATTTCAGATTTCAATTTGTATCTGTTTCAGCACCCCTCTAAAAATAACGGTACTGACAAATCAGTCGATTGGAAAGGAATCAAAAGAGGGTCTTGTCAAGCGAAGGAATGTGTTGACTGTGATGCTTACACTTACAATCCTTCAAAAGGAGCGCAATGCCAGTACTGTGGTTGCTATCCAACAAAACACCGACGAATACAAGGTGCGTTTTAATTTTGGTGTACTATTTTGTCATCCATATATATTTTAGTAGTTTGTAAAGAAAGGTCCCTCCTCCCCTTTTTTTCCCCATGAATTCTAGATGATGATACAATAGCACCTAAGATCCCGAGACTGGAACTCGAAGATGATGAGAGACAAGCCCCAGAAATACATATAATTGACAATGGTTCTGACACCGTGAGTACTTCTCAGTTTGAGTGTTTCTTCAAATTTAGTTCAATGTCATTTATCAATCCTTGACACCATCTTCTTCTTTTGCAGCTGGTCTATGAAGTCGATGATGAAGGGAATGTTGTGCCTGATGATGACCCCCTTGAACTTCTTGCTGAACAATTGCCGAGTCTCATCAGTACTCAAGTAGAACCAGCTATATTAAAGAACAAAGCTATCATGTCCAATTGTGCTTCTGTGTCTGGACCACCAGCCTCTGTGTCCTCCTTTTCCAAAGTAACTCTCTTTGCCTCATTTAAATGCTGCAAATTATTTTTGAACTAGGTCTGATCAATGTTAATTTTTTTAACAAACAGTCTGCTCTTATGAAAAAGAAGGAAATCCCCTCTCAAACTGTGTCAGTTAATTTGAACAACAAATCAACGTTTGAAAAGATGTTGCAACCAATGTCCAAGGTATGTATGTCTCATGCATTAGAAGATACATACAAGGTAGATGGTACATATACATTTGTTTTCCTGTCTTTTGTTTGTTTTAAGGAGCAATTATATGAGCTCTGTGTGCCTTCTCGTCTTCCAATGAGAATAAATTTTCCAAGGGACTCAGAATCTCTCCCAAAGTCTGATGCCCAGTTTGTTATAAGATGGATTGCTTGGTCCATGTGGAATGTGCGTGTGACAGCTGAGCAAGATTTTAAAAATGTTGCCGATTTAGCTCTCAAGAGATATCCTACTCTTGAATCCATTTTCCCCAAGGAGAAAAGCTTGGTGGGTATCCCAGATTACTTTGAACTTTATCGAATTGTATTTGTCATCTTTCAATTTACCTTTTTGTTTTTGTTGATTGCAGGATGGTATGGTCAAGTTTCTAAAACAGTTCCTTGGTCACAGAGATGTTGAAAAGAAAAAGAAAGAAAAAGAGGTGGTCCAACCAAAGCAGATACAGCAACAGAAATCAGAGAAAGAAAACACAGTTTCTAACATAAAACAATTTGAAACTTTAAAGTCACATATTTACAAAGAGATGGAGAAGTTAAACCCATCCATAGCAGTATTACGAACATTCCTCTCATCTTGCCGTAAAGAACGGAAATTAAGACTCTCCAAAGAAAAACAGAACTATTCCACACAGTTGCAAGAATTCCCATGTCTTGGGATTCAAGAATTGGTTTGTAAATTTATTTTATTATTTTTTAAAGTAATAATTTTATGATGAACTTAAATCAAATGACGAAAGCTACCCTTTAAAAAAATTGAACAAAATCTTGTACCAGAAAATGATAACGTTTTAATGGCAACATTAAAAGTTGTCAACATTACTTGGTTCTAGGTGTTTCAGCATGTATACATTTAAGTTCTGTTTTATATTGGTCCTAAAGGTACTGTGGGAGTTCATTAGTCAAGAACAACTTCAGTGCACACCAAAGGATTTGAAGAAACGCTGGCAGGATGCTATCTCCAGTATGGCCTCCTACTTCCTATCTGAATCTGAGAAGACCTTTGATTCTCCATTAACTGAAGGTAATTGTGATCATAGATATTATTGAATACAAACTCTGTGTAAAAGTATTTATCTATCTATTTATTCTTCAGAGGAGGCGACTTCAGAAATTCTCCAATGCCTCACCTGTCCCAAACACTTTGGGCCAGAAATGTCAGAGGATAAGAGAAGCCATTTGGTCTTAGAAGTTCTCCAGGTAAGTTCAATGTTGTTTCCTTCCACATGTTCAGTAATTCTGTGAAACTTGGCTCTAAACATAAAATTAGAATAATGATAGTAATAATAATAATAATAATACCCTCAAAGCATCATTGGCTGATTAGTTATAAATTTTTGTTTATATTTTGTTTTAGGGCTCAACCATGCCACTTTTTGCTCCGAAACATGATCCGCCCCGACTCTTCTCTCTTGGTGAAGATGAAAACCAGACCACATATGTATATGTTGAAGGGAAAGCTGTTTACAAAGGCCCTATTATGGATGCTTTGCTCTACATTGTAGCTATCTATTATGTTTTTGAATTTTCTCCATCCTTTGAAGCAACTGCTGCATTTTCATTCATTTATGGTATTTTGTTAAAAGAGAAGGCTTTTGATAAATACATGCACCATAGAGCTGTGGTTGAAGCATTGGAATTAATTTGGGCCTCGCAGTGAGTGAGGATATAAGGGATTATTTTTACAAACCGCCTTTGCAGCTGAACAAGACTATTTTTGTAATGTTGTTTTAGCTTTATTTTTACATTAAACATTTTAATGCATCAAATATTTTTCTATTGAAATAAACGTTTTTACTCGAGCAGTCTCATTATGATGTGAGCCAGTCCTTGATAAACTAATCCGCCAGCTCTGGGTTGTAGGTGCTTGGCCACTCCCACCCAATAATTCGACCAGGATGGCACTCAGGCCGCGGCAGCATGTTACTCGCCCTCCTTTTTTACGGAATTGCGGATATTGCCGCTGTGCAACAAGCTGCTGCCGTGAAGCTGGGGGGGGGGGATAACTCGACCAAGTAATGTATGTGAGGCCAACCCGGGTATTAATGTTGGTAGAATCTGAAGCAGGAGCCTGAGCTTGGCAGTGTAACTACCACAGCATCGCGAAGACAAGATCGGGGACGCGAGGACGAAAAAAGGGCCGGGGGGGGGGGGGACACACCAAACGGATTGGGGCATCATTAATTCACATTGTAACGCTTCGGGCGCGCCAATCCAGCGTCTCCTAGCAACGTGTGGCAACGTGGCCCAAACAAACCCCTACCTGTCGAACCGTCCATCCCCCCACCACCGCTTCCCCCTATTCGATGCGCACCAGGGTTGCCCCCGACGACAGCGTCCGCCCGCAAAATTAAAAGCTCCACTCGGCAAGGCCGGCAAGGCCCAGAAAGCTTAAAGCACCCCATACAAGGGAACGCCCCTTGGAACGCCCTTTGCCGTCGCCCCGCCCTCTCTGATTGGCGGACTGGCCGGCCCGGCCACACATGTCCATTGGTGCGCTGCGTGTGCTGCCTACCCTCCGGCCCCCTCCCCGCACGGGGCACTGTGCCCGTAGGTGTGTCTGTGTGAGTGTGCGAACCTACTTCCAGCCCCGCCTGGCCCAGCGCTCCAGTTGGACAGGTAGCGGCCGCGAGGCCAGACGGTGCACAGGGCGCGACGCGCGAAAGGCGACGCACACACCATGTCCGACTTGCCACAGCAGTAAGCACCCCGTCGGCAAGGGGACACTTGTTGGACTGCTCGCCGCGCTTTGGGGCGAGATCCTTTCAGCGCCTCAGAGAGCGGACAGACTTTTCTTCGCGGAAAATGGGATTGCTGGGCCTCTGGCTGGCGCTGGCCCTGGCCCTTCCCTGTCTCACCACGGCGCAGACCACCAGAGGAATTAACGTCTGTAAGTATGGAACAAAACAGCTTTTCAGCGCCCCCTCCCCGGTCTTTTCCCGCTCAAAAATGGGCAAATTGGAGGGACAGCGTTGGAGGCGGCCCTGATTGCGGCCGACACCTGATGCACGGTATTGGCCGACATTGGTTCGCGGCCGTGTCTCCGATCGGGGCGTCGTGGCGCGGCTCGCGATCGCCCGTCCCGACACGCAAGGCACGCAACCCCGACCGCCAGGCCAGCCGCGGCCCGCGGCGTGTTTTAGTAATGACCGGGTGCCACCGCGAGAGTGAGTGAGTGAGTAAGTGAGTGAGTGAGTGAGTGAGTGAGTGAGTGAGTGAGTGAGTGAGTGAGCCAGTGAGTGAGCGAGTGAGTGAGCGAGAGAGAGAGAGAGAGAGAGAGAGAGAGAGAGAGAGAAGGCTAGCTCCGAGCTCTCCGAGGAGCGCGGCCGAAACGCCCGACGAACAGAGGATAGGCCGTCCCGCGAAACACGCCAGGCAAGCGGGATGCCTACCCCGCCGTTCACAGGGGCTCTGCGGAGCCGAAAGCTCAGCGCCCCGAACGAGCTCTTTCCCCGCCATGAAACGCACGGCCCTCCAAACTGGGAGAGTGCGGACCTTCTCTTAAGCTTTCATTACGCCGTTTAAGGTCGGATGGGCGCGGATGTTCCAGAGTGTGAGAGTATAAGTGTAAGGGTGTGTGTGTGTGTGTGCGCGCGCACGCGCCCAGCCTTATAGTGCAGTGGGGCATGGCCCCAGGGAAGCCGGGAAAATCAATACATTTCCACGTCAAATCCTTCCTTCCATCAGTCTCTTGGCCCCTCCGCTCCCCTCCACCCCCCGCCCCCTCTTCGCGCCTCGCGCAAGGTCGATGCAAAATGGTTCCGTCGTTACGCGACGCCTTAGCGACGTGTCAGCTGGGCCGTCGTGTCCGTCGCCACTTCGAGTCGAATTGGGGGAGGGGGTGAAAGCTTAAGTCGGCCGCGGGGGCCGAACGTGGCGTCCGCACCTGTCGTGCCCGAGTGTAGGCCGGCCTTCTGTCGCTGCGAACCGGGCCCTCCCTTGCAAAGCGCGCGTCGCCCCTCAGACGGCCCGGCCCATGCCTTGGCCCATGCGAGCGGCCCACGTGGCCTACGTGGCCCACATCTCGCACGTGCCGGCCGGGCTCCATTCAAAGGCAACAAACAAACAGCGTTCTCGAGCGAGGTCGATTTGGCACAGCCATGGCGGCAGAGCTCAGCCGCTTTTCATAAGAATCGACCCGCGAGGCGGCAGATCTCTGTTAAAAGGGGGAAGAGATAAGATTCCGACAAAAGAAGTGCTAAAGGCGAACTTGAAAGAAGCGCGTTTTGGTGCTTGCCGTTCGCCTTGGCACGTGCGAAGAAGAAAGGGGGTGGGGGGAGCGTCCCGAGCGCCGGTCGAAGTAAAATGTTCTCCACGTGTCCAGTATTTTGATTATTTTATTTTTCACAGTGTTCGTGAGCGATGAGTCCAACCCCGTGGCCGAGAAGGCGCTGGACGTGGCCTTGAACTACGTCCGGCGCACGGCCAGCACGGGCATCCAGTTCGACTCCTTCCAGCGCGTCATCGCCAACACCTCGGACGCCAGGACCCTCCTCGAAGCGCGTCAGTACCGAGGGGGCAAAAACTCGGGATTTTCGTGTACACATGATTCGGAAAACGCAATGATTGCGCATGGTTTTAATTGATTTCATGGCTGATTTTGCCTTATTTCGCGACGCACCAGGGTGATGTTGAGCATGCTTGCGTGTGATTGTGTTCGGAAAGAAATGATTTCGGACTGATTTGGCCTGGTTTCGTGTGATTCTGCCCATTTTTGGTCGATTTTAGTGATTTTGGCTGATTTCGGATTGCTTGATTTCGCGTGATTCTCAATGATTCGCGTGTGATTTCGGGAGCCGTGTACACATGATTGCGCGAGTTTTTGCCCCCTCGGTCAGTACACTGTGGACTGCGTTTGGGGTTTGGGGCGGTGGGTCCAAACAGGGGGCGGGGCATCGGGCACACATTCTTGTGAAACCTGTTTGATTGCAGTATGCGAGAAATACGACAATTCGCTGAAGACGGAGAAGCCCCCCGACCTGGTGCTCGACTTCACGCAGACGGGCGTCACGTCGGAGACGGTCAAGTCGTTCACGCACGCTCTGGCCCTGCCCACCGTCAGCGCGTCGTACGGCCAGGAGGACGACCTCAGGCACGTTCACTTCCGTTTGCGCCTCGAAGCGGTCAGGGCCGAAACTAACTCGTCTTCCTTGGCCTCACAGGCAGTGGCGCTTCCTCGCCGACGACCAGATGAAGTACCTGGTGCAGGTGTCGCCCCCGGCAGACATGATCCCCGAGGTGATCCGCAGCATCGTGCTGGCCTGGAACATCAGCAACGCCGGCATCCTGTTCGACGACTCGTTCGGTACGCCGCGCACCGCGTTCCAAGTTGGAAGCAAACACTTTGCACTTTCTCTTCCCCTCGTGAGACTAATCCACTTTGAACGCGGCCCGCGCCGTCACCCCGCCCCGCAGTGATGGACCACAAGTACAAGTCGCTGCTGCAGAACGTGCCGACGCGCCACCTGATCGCCGCCGTGGAGGACGTCCGCAACGTGAAGCGGCAGCTGACGCGGCTGCGCGAGCTGGACATCGTCAACTTCTTCGTGCTGGGCCGCCTGGCCACGCTCAAGAACGTGCTGGACGCCGCCAACGCCAACAAGTACTTCGGCCGCAAGTTCGCCTGGTTCGCCATCACGCAGGTAGGTGCCGACGCCCCCACTGGCTCGGGGCTCTCTCGGAGCGCGCTGACGGCGTGACGGCGTGCCCGCAGGACAAGGGGCAGCTCAAGTGCAGCGCCAGCAACGCCACCATCCTGTTCCTCAAGCCGGAGCCCGACCCCACGTCGCGGGAGCGCCTGGAGAAGCTGCGCACCGACTTCAGCCTCACCACGGAGCCGGAAATCGCCTCCGCCTTCTACTTCGACCTCGCGCTCCGCTCCTTCCTCTCCATCAAGTAGGTCCCTTGGTCTCACTCTGGGTGCGGGCGAGCTGCGGAGTCAACGGAAACTTCTCATCCCGCAGGCAGATGATGGACAAGGGCCAGTGGAAAAAGCTCAACTACGTCAGCTGTGAAGAGTACCAGGAGGACAAGCCCATGGTGCGCCGTGACTTGGAGCTGCGGCGCGCGCTCAGGGAGGTCCAGGAGCCGCCGTCCTACGCGCCCATGATGCTGGAGGAGCACAACGGGCACTCCTACATGGAGGTAACGTAGTCCGTGGCGCCGCGGTGTGTCGCGCCGGGCCAACGCCTGCCGTAAACGCGTCGCTGTGCTTTCCGCAGGCCAGCATGCGCCTGGAGAAGGTGACGGTGGTCAACGGCCAGAGCGTCTCCGCCGAGGTGGAGGGGTCCTGGAAGCTCGGCCTAGACTCGCCGCTCTCCGTCAAGGACGCCTCGTCCATCGCCAACCTGACGGCGGCCAGCGTCTACCGCATCGTCACCGTCCTGGTGAGTCTGGCGGGACGGCCGTCCTCCGCCTTCCTCCACGTGTTGCCGAATTCAAATCTTTGCCGCCTCCGCCCCGCAGCAAAAGCCCTTCGTGATGGAGACCCGGGACAAGAGCGGCGCCGTCAAGTACGAGGGCTACTGCATCGACCTGCTGGACGAGATCCGCAAGATCATCGTGTTCGAGTACGAGATCTACGTGGCCCCCGACAACAAGTTCGGCAACATGGACGAGAAGGGCCAGTGGGACGGCATGATCAAGGAGCTCATGGAGAAGGTAGGGCAGTGCCTCTGTCGCGCTGTACGGCTGCAATCAGTGCGTCTCCCTCGTCTCCCTCGAGATGAGAGAGACAGAGCGACGAATCAACTCTCACGCGCGTTGTTGTGTCGCCTGTTCCTTCAGCGCGCCGACATCGGCCTGGGCTCGCTGGCCGTGATGGCGGAGCGCGAGAACGTGATCGACTTCACGGTGCCGTACTACGACCTGGTGGGCATCAGCATCCTCATGAAGAAGCCCGAGACCCCCACCTCCCTGTTCAAGTTCCTGACGGTGCTCGAGAGGGAGGTGTGGCTGTGCATCCTGGCCGCCTACTTCTTCACCAGCTTCCTCATGTGGGTGTTTGACCGCTGGAGCCCGTACAGCTACCAGAACAACCGCGAGAAGTACAAGGACGACGAGGAGAAGCGCGAGTTCAACCTCAAGGAGTGCCTGTGGTTCTGCATGACGTCGCTCACGCCGCAGGTAGGGACTGTGTGCTTTTCGCTTTCTGCCCGCCAAACGCGAATCTATCTGTATTTCGCATTGCGTAGGGTGGAGGCGAGGCGCCCAAGAACCTGTCGGGGCGCCTGGTGGCCGCCACGTGGTGGCTCTTCGGCTTCATCATCATCGCCTCGTACACCGCCAACCTGGCGGCCTTCCTCACCGTCTCGAGGCTGGACACGCCTGTCGAGTCCCTGGACGACCTGAGCAAGCAGTACAAGATCCAGTACGCGCCCTACAACGGCTCGGCCGCCATGACTTACTTCCAGCGCATGGCCGACATCGAGACCCGCTTCTACGAGTAAGTCGCCGAGGGTTGGGGGAGCGGGGAGTGTGCGGAGTGGTCAGGAGTTGAACCCGTGTGCTGTGCAGGATCTGGAAAGACATGAGCCTCAACGATTCGCTGAGCGAGGTGGAGCGCGCCAAGCTGGCCGTGTGGGACTACCCGGTGGGCGACAAGTACACCAAGATGTGGCAGGCCATGCTCGACGCCAAGATGCCCAACAACCTGGAGGAGGCTGTGGCCAGGGTGCGCCTCTCGGAGGGCACCAGCGAAGGCTTCGCGTACCTCGGGGATGCAACGGACATCCGCTACCTCTCTCTCACCAACTGCGACCTGCAAATGGTGCGTGCCTGGTGCTTCCCTTGGTCTTGTTGCCCGAACCCGTCCCGCCACCCCACTGCCTCACGGCCTTGCCGCCTCGTTGCAGGTGGGGGAGGAGTTCTCCCGCAAGCCGTACGCCATCGCGGTGCAGCAGGGCTCCCCGCTCAAGGACCAGTTCAACAACGCCATCCTGCAGCTGCTCAACAAGCGCAAGCTCGAGAAGCTCAAGGAGCGCTGGTGGTCCACCAACCCGGAGATCAAGAAGTGTGACAAGCAGGACGACCAGCAGGACGGCATCTCGATCCAGAACATAGGTAGGCGACGCGGCCGCTTCACTCTTTTTTCAGTCCGACCGGCGTACCGCAAATTTGGTTCGGTTCTTGCAGGCGGCGTGTTCATCGTCATCTTCGTGGGCATCGGACTGGCCTGCGTGACGCTGGCCTTCGAGTACTACTGGTACAAGTACAAGCGCAACCCCCGCGTCACGGACCTGGCCGGGCAGCGCGGCGGCAAGGCGCCCCGTCAGCAGCACCTGGCCGTCATCGGCCGCGGCGCCTCCGACGACCTCAGCGCCACCGCCAAGCTGGACGCGGCGGCGCTGGGGGCCTTGGGCCAGGCCTACAACTACAGGTGATCCCACTTCCTCTGAGTCTCCCTAGCTGATGCTGACACCCTGTTCCACTAATCCTACCCTCCGTAGCTCTCTTCCTAAGTGCCTTTAAACAGAGAAGCACGTTTCCATGGCCTGAAAATGAATTTTAATGTTTCACAGGCGGAACGGGAACCAATTGCCCGGCGTGAATCAGGCCTGGCAGCACTAGAGGGAACGACAGCGACAAACTGCGCGTGACATCGAGGCGCGGCTCAGCCTTTCTTCCTGGACTGCAATATTCATGACTTGTGTCATCTTTTCGGCTACTTTTGCTCTTGATTTCTGTCAGTTTAGGTTTATTGTGTTGAGTGAGACATGTTATTGTTAGATTGAATTAAGAGGGCCTAGGAGCCAACTTCTTGTTTCCGCACGAGTGGTCACGTTTTTGTGAGGGTGCCTGCAAATTATCAGGGTGGACCACCAAATGACTGAGTAATCTAGTGAAGTAGTCTGTGTGTGTTGATATGTATTTGCTGTGAAAAATTTGACAAGAGTTGACTTTATGCACACGGTTTTTAATGTTTGGGACCAATCTTTTTTCCCTTCTGTTTTCCAAGTTTTAGAGGGTGTGAGAGTTTTTATGCACAGCTTGGATATAAGTTATGTGAAATGCAGTATTTTTCAGAGTGTGATTATTGTGCTAGAATTATATCACTTTAGACTTTAGAATTCATTTCTGTACTTGAGAGTTTGGACTTTGTTAAGAGAGTGAGGAGAGATGTTGGATAATAAAGAATGCAGATCTCAATATTCTCAATTTCTATTTCCGCAAAAACCTTATAATAATACAGCACTTGAATTCAGCATAAAACAAAGTATTCCATGATTTGGCCATAAACAAGATAAAATTGAAGAGGGGATCACAAATGCACTCCCACTTAAAAATAATAATCCCCCGCACTCTTTTTCTATTCAAGAGAGAGGAAACCTACAATTCTGTGGCGATTCTTAATCAGAACGCCTGGACTTCTTACGAGCTGGAGCCTCATCATCCGAGGCACTTTCCGCAAACAAATCTTCTGACTCACGCGCACCGGAATCACCATTTTCTCCACTCTCAGATTCATTGCCGGAGTCATCCCGATTAGAAGATGCCTGCACATTAAAAAGTCATGTGAGACAATTTTTAACTTCAAAGAATAATTCTTAACAGAACTTAGCAAGGCCAACTAAGCCATACTCACAGGTCGTTCTTCGTCAGCTTCCTCAGCACCCTCCTCCTCACCTTCCTCCTCCTCCTCCTCCTCATTGTCAGACGTTCCATTGGCATTGTCTCGAAGGGCTTTCTTGATGGCTTGAGGCTTGAGACTGAAGTCCCGTGCTGAGTTGTGTTTCACAATATCTACAAGTTCTGGAGCCTAAGAAAGAGTAAAGCAAAAAATTTAAAGTCAAAGAGTTTCCTCTGATAGCAAATGCCATAATTCTTCAGCTCTGGAACTTTGAATGGAAAGAAATAGCAGAGCAACATTACCTTGCAATCTTTGGACAGTTTAATGACACATTGATCAAAGGTCTCCTTTTTACGAACTAAGCTGGGAATCAATCTTGTTTCCCTTAGCACTTTAGATTTCTGGATGGATGGATCTAGATTTTTTTTCTTTCTTTTATCTGCAGATTTTTTTTCCTGAAATTATTATTAAAATACAGTATAAAGCCTTGTTAAATGCATCAGCTTATAAAATTTAAAATAAACTTACCCCAATGTGACTGACAAAAGCAAACATATTTCTTGCTAGATATTTCCCAGCATTCCTTATAACTTTGTCAAACCTGAACAGAATGAAAAACATAACAAAAAGTTAAGAATAAATATAACTGTTATTGTTTAGCCAGAGGGCCCTAAGCCTAAATATAAGATAGAATGGCCAATAGGACAGTTACCTTGCTGTTTCAAAAACTTTGTTGTCTTTTGAAGAGCGCCTAATAAAATACTTAGTCAATCGGGAGAGTGTATCAAATGCATCACAGTGAATTCTCAAAAGTACATCTGCAGAAGGGCCAGCCTGTGGAGCACAAACACTCAGAGAAACATTGCATTGTACACATCGAGCCATGTGACAGACTGTTTCTCTTTCTTTAGTTCTCAGCAATTCCTTATCTGAAAAGATTTTTTCCTTTAAGAAAAATGACAAGGGACTTTAAATGAAATTCTGAGAGAGAGGCTACTTACTGGTATCTGCTGTTTCTTCATCTGGAGAGTATTCAAGCATTGTGAGCTCTGCATCCAATCTTACAGCTACCCATTCTACTTCTTCCAGGCGACCTTTGATGGTAGCGCAAACCACTCCAAGAACTCCATATTTAGTTGCAGTATTCAATAAATTTAACTTTTGGGCATCAGTCAATTCTTCTTCTTGCTGAAAATAAAAAACAATAACATCAAATAGAAAATTATTAACAAAAAGAAAAGAAAAAAAAACGTGGTATAGTGTTGAGGAGAGTACTTACAACATCTGGAAGAATGCCAATTTCTTCCTGTAACTGCTTGGTTAAATTGGGCAGCATTTGACTTTCTGCTTTACATCTCACAGTCAATTTTAAAAGTAACTGAACTAAGGTCTTGGCTACATTTAAATTCTTTACAGATCTCTCTGAACACAAAGCACGCATCTTTTCCAGTAACTGTAATAAAAGAAACAAAAAAGACAGTCACAGTGTTCTAAAAATCTTAAAGAACACATCAGTTCACTTCAGGACTCACCTGGATACACTGAGGGGAATCAGTAGGAAGTTGCATGCTGACAACTTGCAAAGCAGAGCTCAAATGCTGAATCAACTTTTTATCAGCAACTTCATCTTCGGAATCATCTTCATCAGACAAACGTTCATCCAAAAGGCTCATAAGTTTTTCAACAATTGGTTGAAGCTGCTCTGCCACTCCATCCTTTTCAGATACACCAGCTTCATAAAGAATACACAAAATATCAGTTAAATGAGAGAGAAAAGAAAAAGGATTGGTAGATCAGTGGAATAAAATGAAAGTACTCATTATTTGGAGAAATCCTGTCCATTTAAGCCTGCAGTGTGCCAGGACCATTTGCAGAAGTTCCAGAAAACTTTCCAAGATAAGAATTGCCAGATTCCGGTCAAAGGCGTCAATTTCAGATAGGCGGCAAATACAATGCTCATAAATTTTCCTGTGAACATTCAAGCATAAATTTACCCAGAAAAAAATATATTGATGGCAAAGGAAATAAAAATAGAGAGCTCAAATCACCTAGCCACTTTGGCACAATGTTTCATTGCAGACATGTTACCACACTGTAATTCCTCTCTTAGGTGAGCCACATTCTGCACTAAAACATTCATCACATATCGATGAAACTCTCGTTTGCCTTTGACGCAAGCTGCTGCAGGAGCTGTTGACCAAGGTATATCCTCCCTAGAAATATCCAAGACAAGAAAAAATTACAAATAAAATAGACAAAAACTTCAGAAAACGCATGCATACAGATTTCCAAAAGAAAATATACATGTGCAGCAAGTCCAGAGTCCTAGAAAGGAAGGGAAGTCCTAGAATAGATGGAGGTAGTTTGAATGTTGCTGGCCTTCCAAATCGACCTTTCTTCTCTGTTTGGGATTTCCCTGTTGCAGCCATTGTCACATCTTTCTTATTATTGCCACCAGTTGTAGCATTCTGAGAATGAAAAAAATAACTTCACATTTGGCACTAGGAAAATTGACACAGTGTGTACTGTATTTACAAGTGCAGAAGGTACCTTGGCATAATCAATCAGTCTTGTATAACACTTATACATTGATAGAAGCTTTGAACCCTGGTCTGGTGTATTCAATGACCATGTATTAATACAGTAACACATCAAAGCCTCGTATACAGCTAAAGCTTGTCGAAGAGTCTCAGCAGCCCGCTTGTTTTCCACTGATGAATCCATTAGGCGCACATCTTCATCCTATAATTGAGAGAAAACGTTGATCTTTAAAAAAAATATGTAACACAAAAATTTACAGAACTGAACTGAAAGGAGCTGTCAAGATATTTACCAACTCAAAGTTTTCTAATGTACATTGTCCCATTCCTACAACTAACTTATCAAGGACCTCAGTAACCTGTGACATTGTTCTTGAATCTACATCATCCTCTCGTTCATTTATGACTAGAACTACTTGCTGAATCAGGTAGAGTAAAGCTCCAACAGGCTCCTGAAGAATGGCATCAGCCGCTTGGAGAGTTATTATGTTGTTAAAGCGTACAGGTGGGAGAGCGTCCAAATCACACTGCTTTAACAGATGTCCACGCAGCCAGAAAAGGATTGTAGCAGTGAGAGGTGGATTACTTTCAACCACTTCAAAGAGACCTAAACCCAGGAGAAATAATTAAGATTGATGGTTAAAAAGATACCAAAAAACAGAGGAGAGCAGCAAAGTTTACCTTTGTATAATGATACTCGCACTTCTGCTTGTTGGTTCAAGCAACCTCTGAGGGCACCTAACACCTCCAGGCATATGGCCTCTTTGGTATTAGTGTTGGTGGCAGTAGCTTGACTGTAAACTTCAACTGATACCTGTTTTATGAATAAAGCATTTAATCAACAAGTGTTTCAGCAAGGAGAACTTTGTATTGAATCCAATGGACAGGGTAGTATACCTGGCTGAGAATATTATATCCGCTAAAAGTATTACTGCTTGACCCCTGGCTCAAATGTCCTAAAGACCCAGCTTCCAAGCGCAAATTCTTCAACATTTCAATAAACCCGTGGACAGCAACCTTTCGGGTATTAGTATCTCTGGAAAGGATACAAAATAAAAGTGACAACTTGGCGAACAAAATAATCAAGGAATGCATCAGGCATATATACATAATGGAAAAGTGGGTCTATTCTACCTTGAAAACAGAGCTTTACGAAGAACCAGAATGAGATTGTCTCTCACACCAGAGGCAAGCAGCACTATTGGCATTACTGCTATAACAATGTCTCTTGCAACATTCCATTGAATGACACGTAAGTAACTCAACAACCCAACAATCGCACTCTGCTGTTCCATGATAACAAGGCGCACATCTCTGCACATTTGACCAAGGCATTCTGAAAAGTTAGCAAAATACAGTTTAGTGTAAAAGTTTATGACTTGAGTTTGTTATAAATGCAAAAGAAACCTTACTAATATACTGTTGGACGCCTTCCCCTGTTATGATACAGTCACATAGTCTTTGCAGGACAGAGTTCGCGACATGGCGCTGGTACCGCATTAAACGGAGAAGGATGAAAGTGCCAAAATGCCACACCTGGTCAGAGGCTGCTTCCTTTCCCCGTATCAGAGGAACCCTTAGTAACTCAAATGCTAAGTTAACAAGACCTTCCTCCACACCGAGCTGACCGTCTTTGCTGTTGAAAGAAGAATTTTACAATAAGACAGTTCAAACATTTATTATTAAGAATCATCAAGATAAAAGAAAAATTCCATACCAGCAATCAATAAGGGTATTGATGAGTTCTTGAATGTTCACTTTATTGATTCTTATGTCCCTCATCCACGCAGATTCTTTCCTCTTTTCCATTTCAAGAACGCCCCTAGTAATACTGGTTCTCAAAATACTGAAGACCTTTCAATATGGAACCAGAGATTTTACCACATAGTACCTCAAGCTGTTAATTTATCAGTAATATTCTTACCCACCTGGTCTTCATAAGTGGACACTGTTGCAATGCTGAACAACATGCTAACTATGATGGGCTGTAAAACGGCTTCAGGTGCTCCCTTTGCTACTTTAGCCATGGTGTTAACAAAGTCTTTGATGGAGGCATAGCATCCAGCCACCTTATTCACATGATAGAGAACAGTGCCAAGGGCCTGCTTGGTGTCTTCGAATGATGCAACTTCTATTGTAAGCAAAACATGAGTATTGAATAAGATTAGATGTAAAATGCTACCAAGAACACAGATATGAGAATGATATTGTGAAAATGAAGTCCTTACCAATGTTTTCAGATTCTAGCATCTGTGATGACGCCATATCATTACTATTTTGCCGGCGATTTTTATACAGATGCAAATGAAAATAATGGTTCAATTTCATTAAGAGGAGCAAGCCATGTCGATCCTTGCATAACTCCAGCATTTCATGAACCAGTGTGGGTAACTCTTGAGGAGGGAGTTCCTCCATGCTGCAGCAGAGCTTGTTGACAACTTGTAAATGCTCATCAGGTGATAGAGGGATATTTCTAAAATGCATGATATTTAATATTAGATTGACATATAAAATGAGTAAAATAACCCAAGGAACTTACACATTGAATGATCCCTGGAAACTTACATAAGCATACTAGCAAGGGAGGAAGCAATCTGCGGCTTCCAAGGAGACTGGCACAATGTTTTCACAAGTTGTGATTTGTATTCTTCTCCAGTCATTTGTGTACCATGCTGGGTGACTCTTTTTCTTTCAATTAAAAGCAAGAGCATGGTTGGCAACAGCTCTTTCCAGCTGTCATTAAAAGAGCAAAAAAGTGCAGCATTAAGAATCTTCTTTAATTTATTTTATCACAAACCCATGCCCCACACCCCCATACTGCTCTTACCACATATGACTGCGAGATGATTGATTATGAGATCCTCTCTGTTCGTCAACTCTCTGCTCACAGATGGTTTTCATGCACAAATCACATAGTTTAACAAGATTATTTGCAGAAAAATTTGAGACTTCCAGTTTCAGACGACTTGTAACTAAATTAGCTTTAGCGAGAGGAATGTCATGTTTCTCAAATTCATGTAACACTTGCTCAGTAATCTATAACAGGAAAAAATGTCTGTCAGGCCCCATGGATATATCAGACAGTGAAACCAAAACTTCAAACGAAACAGAGAAGATACTTGCCTGGTAGCGCAGTTGATGAGACAGGCCAGATTGTGTAAGGCCATCAAGAAATAATCCAAACAACTGGCGAAACTCATCTTTCAAAAATGTTTTTGAAATTAAGGGGCCGATCTGGAAATGAAAAATCAAAGTGGTTCCAAATCAAGGGTCACTTTAAAAACAGGCAACAGTTCCAGGTTAAGTTTGGAAGGCTTAAAAATCAACAAAAAGCTGGTTGACAAACCTCATCGACATCAAACGACTCCACGCACTGCTGAAGTTCCTTTAAGTCTCCATTCTTCCCACAATTGATTAAATTGACAATTTTTTTATCCATTTCAATTAAGAATGAACACAAAAGCTTTTAGGCATTCGTATACTTTCTCCCGCGCCGCGCGCTCTTTCATTTGTTCAGCTACACGCTTGTTTTTGTTGTTTTTGTTCTTCTCCTACAACCGCAACAGCACACAGCACAACAACAACAACGAAGACGAAAAGAGCTTTCTGAATCAAATCTGTCATCTCTTTGCGAGTTTTTATTTTAGACTGCGTCCTCGTACATACCATTTGAGATGACTTCTTTGTCGAAATCTGGGTACGATACCCATGATGACGGACCTGGCTTTGTCGGTATAAGATTCTGTCAGGAATGGTAAGTGCCATGGAGGTTATGTTGATGGTTTCAAACTAAATAACAAAATTTATCTCCCACAATTCTGTTTTCCTCCCAGCAACAATATGCTTTATCCGAAAGAAGATAAGGAAAATAAGGTCCTGTTGTATGCTGTAAGTGATCCTCCCACCTCTCTGGAATGAACTTGTTCTACGTATGTTGTTTCGTTTAACCTTTGTGGCTTTCAATGAATGTTCTCTTCTGTTCAGTGCCGAAATTGTGATTACAAGCAACTGGCTGACAGCAACTGCATCTATGTCAACAAAATTATGCACGAAATTGAGTAAGTATTGTCGCAGCTAAATTGTAGTTTGTCAGATGAAATGTACTACTAAGCTGGTTCTCTTTTTTCAGCGAGCTCACTCATATAGTGGCTGATGTCATATCAGATCCTACACTACCTAGGACAGAGGAACACCCTTGTCCCAAATGTAATCTTCGAGAAGCTGTATTTTTCCAAGCTCAAACACGCCGCGCTGAGGTACATTATATTGTTATTCTAAACTTTATTTTGGAACAAAATTTTCTTATTTCTTATGCTGTTTTGTTTGACATGTTGCAGGAGGAGATGAGACTATACTATGTATGTACTAATCAACTATGCACCCACAGATGGACAGAATAGTTTGATGTACATTTTTATCATTATTGAACATATTTATTAATCGTATACTGTGACATTTTGTGCAATTCATTTTTTCTTTCTATTGTTTGATTAAATTGTGGTCTACTTTAATTGAGTCCATTTTATTCTTTTCCCTCATTCCTTTTGAAGTAAAGGCAAGAATCACTTAAATTAAAGCACACACAGTAAGTTTAAAATAGACTTTTATTGGATAAAAATAACTGCAGAACACAACGGTAACTAACAACATTTCTGTAAACTAAATAGCATGGAAAAAGAACTCAATAATCAGCTCTCAAAATGAGGCATAAAGATTCGGCAATAAGTTAAAGACTACATCAATCACATTGAGCAAGTATCTGCTGAGCCAAGCACTCCAAATACAGAAAAAACACCTAGCTGACGGCCACATGGCCGGCACGGCCCCCGCAGTGCACGAGGGGCACGTGGGCCACCGACGGGCAGGGGCCCTCCGCAGCCTCCACGTCGGCTTCCTCGCCCGAGCCAGGATCCTCCGACATCTCCGACAGCGTGGATGAGGAGGAGGACGCGGACGAGCACGGCGACCAGTTGTAGCGCGGGGACGGCGCCGAGGAGGACGACGAGGGGGAGGCAGAGGCGGCCACCGCACCGAGGACCTGGCCATTCCCCTGCCATGGGGGCTGCATCCTTTCGGCAGGGCTGAAAACCGCAAACCGTTGGGGAAAACGTGACAGAGCGACAACGGCCAAGCTAAGCACGGCGTCGTGGCTTACCTGCTAGGAGGAGAGGGGCTGGTCTCCTCCGAGGAAGCCCTGCCCAAGCTCCTGTTGGCTTCGCTGGCTCCGGGGCAGCACGACAGCACCATCTTCATCGCGCCGTAACCTGACACAGACGAACAGCATTTCAAGCTTCCCTTGCTTCCTCGCAGTTCGCAGTCTCAGAGGGCACCATTCCTCACCCCTCCTTCCGCAGTAGCTGCACAGGACCGAGCCTCCTCGCTGGCGGGCGCCGCGACGCGCCCAGGACCTGCCGCGCTTGTCCTCAGGCACCGGCGCCGAACACAGACTTCTCTTGCGCGCCCGCCCTCTCGCGTCCTCGTCACCGTCGTCATCGTCGCTGCTGTCGTCGCCGTCGTCGCCGTCGCTCCCGCTGCTGCCGCCCTCACTGCCGTCCGAGCTGTCGCTGCCGTCGCGGCAAGACTCACAACACGACGCCGACGACGCGCAGGAGCAGTACTCGTCCCTGGAGGCGGTCAGTCACTCACGTTCCAAGGGTTGGGCAAAGATTAACCATTCAGTAGCAGAACATATCAAACTCACCCCGTCCACTTGGGACTGCTGGCGCTGCTCGTCAGCGACGTGTCTGTCGTGTCGGTCCACGACGACGAGGAGCCGGTCGAGGCCGCCGACGGCGACCGGCGGCGGTTTCCCTTGCCTGGGCTCTCTGGACTCGAAGGAGAGCCACTCACACTACTTGCGGCGCCACCGGGACTCGACGAGCTTGAGACGGAGGTGGTTGAGGAGGCTGGAGAAGCGGGCTTTGCCCGGGACACTGGCGGCAGTACAGCGATGCAAAACATGAGTGACACAAGTCTCGCGGCCACAGGGCCACATAAACGCCAAGCACGGCTAGACTTACCCGGCTTGCCACGCCGCCTTCGGACGGGCGTCGAGCCACCTTTCCTCGGCGACGGCATTCTGACGGTCGGGGCAGCTGCGGTGTTCTCATGCGGTGGGAACCACGGCGGGAAGCATCAAGAACTGCCTCTGAACTAAACAGTAGCTACCACCCGATTCGCCCCACAAACACTCACGGACTCCTAGCCTAACTGTCAACTAACCGCTCCAACGTTCAATCTGACTGTGTTGTGTCCACAAGAATTCAAGCCGGCCCGGAAGTAAACAGTGCGCACCCTTTGGGGCTGCGTTGTGATTGGTTGGTGGCGGAGAAGTGGCTATGAGAAATTGGGCAGGAGGAGGAGTGGCTATGGGAAATTAAGCGTGTTGTTCTAGTGGTCGCTCTAGTGTCGTTTGTCAAAACTCGAGGCCCACTACAGGACTCTAAGTGTCACTTAGGCCACGTGCTATGTCACGTGGTGTTAGCGGGCCGGGTACTGAAGTCGTCGCAAGTCATCGCGAGACAGGCGGTAGTCATGGATGTGGGAGTTCCCCCACCACCCACCACCGGGGCTCTAACCACTGGCTGTTGCGTCCAGGAAAGTTGGACTTTGAAACGCGGAGTACACCGAGTTTGACAAGATTGTGAAGTGGCATGGGGCCCTAGTTTACTGGGACTGGGCTCAGATCCAAGTCCACGAGCGACAAGTATCGGCTGCTCAAGAGCGGTGACCGAGGGCGGCAGGAATAGTTGCGCGTTTCCATCTCCTCGCATCTCTTTTATTTCACCCGAGGTATAACCTAGGATTCAGGTTGGATTGGAAACTCCTGCACTTTGAAGTTTATGACTCGACAATTTGTCGGCTGCTTCCCTCGCCCCTCGCTTTTGTTGCACAGCTTCCCTGGGGCTTCCCTTGGGCTTCCCTCACTTCTCCGGAAGGCCTGTCGAATGACCTAGCGTCCGCGAGCTCGCACCCGGCTTACAGGTAACTTCATCTTTCCAGCTCCAGCCTGCTCCAGCCCGGCTTCGAGGCAAACATGGGGAAAGTGACGCTGTACGGCTTCGACGCCAGTCCCCCATTCCGCGCTGCGAAGATGTCCTGCGCCGCACTGGGCGTCGAGTACACCGTCAAATACGTTGATGTGACCCAGATGGAGAATCGTCGTCCCGAGTACCTCAAGCTCAACCCTATACACACCGTACCCACCATGGTTGATGGTGACTATGTTCTCTTTGACAGGTAAAGCTTCAATTATCGCTTGTTGTGACGTTCCTGTGTGGTAGCCAAATTAATCTCTTCATTTATTTCAAAGCCATGCAATATCTTGCTATCTGGCTAATAAGTATGGCAAGGATGACAAATGGTATCCGAAAGACCCATGTCAAAGAGGCATTGTGGACCAAAGGCTTCACTTTGACTGTAGTGTCCTAGGCATCGCTTTGAGAAATGTGGGGGTAAGTCCAGGGGTCAGTTCAATCAAATATTGTTAATGTTTTCCTTTTGAAAGACATAAATTTTACATGCATAGGTGCCTCTTCTGTTTGGAAAGCAACCAAATGAAAAGACAATTGCTCCACTTGTAAAAGCAGTAAAATCCCTTGACAAGCTACTTGGTGACAATGAATTTATTGCTCTCAATCATCCAACTATTGCGGATTGTCACTGTTCTGCCACAGTTTTAAGTATTCAGGTAATATTTTGTTTTGCCTTGTTTTCACCCATCCTTTTGGTAAGCATTTGAAACACTTGTTCTTTTCTGACAGGCTTTACTGCCAAATGCTGTCACATCACGAGTTGCAGCTTGGCTCGAGAGATGTAAAACAGCACTCCCCGGTTTTGAGAAGATCAACAATCCTGCCTTGGAACAACTACAGACATTAAGAGAAATGGGCAGGTCAAAACTGTAGCCCCGTTGCAATATTGTAATAAATATGAGCTCAGAAATTCAGTCTAGAAAAGTTTATTTACTTTGGCCTTTAAGCGCAAAATACAGAATAAAAATAACACTTGAATTGTTTTTGGAGGCTCACTAATGTTTAAAACAAGTCACAACATTATCAATTAATGAGATTTGTAGAAAATAATGGTTTAAAGGGAAATGAATGTGGATGAGCACCGTAACTTACAGACTGTCTGACAAGACAAATGAGACAGGACTAATTGTATCAATGACATGTGGGTACTACTATAACATTTCTAGAGAAAGAGCAATAATGAAAAATAGGTATGCGAGATAAAGATAAAAATATATTAGACCAGCTTTAACATTAGTTTACTTGCCTAAAAAAAATATCTTTATAAAACAAAGGCCTCATTTCAAACAATTTAAGGTGACAAAACTTTTTCTACTTTTCTAACAAAAAAAAAAGTTACCCCAGCTGCATACACAGTATGAACAAATTAACAAATATACATGCTCTGGCTTCATCTGTAGTTAGATGACCTGTGCCTGAAAAGAAAAGGGGCAGTTTATGTAAAATTTTACACTATGTAATCATTACTTGCAGTAGAATTACATACTCTGCTTACCGATCTTTCGAGCTATTGTGGTGGTCTCTGTACTTGTCTCTTCCATGACGGTCACGGTCCCGGTCTCTTCCCCGATCCCGCTCCCGACTTCTGCTTCGATCCCGACTGTGGCCATGACTCCTGTATCGATCTTCTTTGAAAGAATGACGATCCCGGTCCCTGTCTCGATCCCGTTCACGGTCTCTGTCGCGGTCTCTATTCCGGTCCCTGTCTCTGACATCCTTGTCTCTGCCATCCCGGTCACGGTGGGGCCTCACATCCCTGTCACGGTAGCTATCCCTCAGGAACGAGCTCCCATCGCTAAATGGGGGTCCCCCATTCGGTGAATCTCTGCTAAAAAAAAAGAAAAGCAAAACATGAATAGAGTTTATGCATCATAAGCTAAAATGGGGATAGTGATAACAGAAGAGGCTTAAGTTTACTACCTTTGATGTTTTGAGTATTTTTCAGCTTCGCCGAAGCCATCTTCATCTCGGTCGACGACAGGTCGGGAAGGCCCACCCATTTGCCGCGGTGGCGGTCTGACAGGTACATTGTTAGGGAAGCGCTCAGCCATCATTCTCTCCAATTTTTGCTGTGAAAATATAAATAAATAGAATAAAAACTTGAATAGGTTAATTTTGAATAAGATTTAGTACATCAAATTGAGAACACTAACCTGGATAGGTACAGGAATTCGTGGAAATAAGGTAGAAAACCATTCTAGCTTAGTTAAAAAGAGTTTAAGCATATTTCCAATGGTCATAGTCTGTCCTCCTCCAGCTTTTACATCAAGTTCCTATGAGAAAAAGAACAAACAAAACAAACAAAAATGAAGAAATTAGTAGAATTCCACAACCTGTTTTCACACATACACAAAAACGCAAATAAGAAAAAAAATACACGAATTAGTCTTGGTGCCTAGCCTCCAGCTGCCTCACCACTTTGAAAGAGGAGAGCAATAGTTCCCTGAACTAGTCAGCGCATACTGGTAGAATTTCAGGATTAATGAACCAAAGTCCTTAATGACATCCAAGTTATCTATTGAGAACTTCTAAAAACGCACCATCAAGAATTTGACATCAGAACACTGTAACGGTAAAAAGAATTAGTCTTTCTAGTAACTTTTCACATGGTACGCACCTCTTCATCCTCAAGATATTCATCGTACCAATCCCATAAATCAGCTGGAGGTTGAGTATACCTGTAAAAAAAAAAAAAAGAGAGATTTATGTCTTTCAAAGCAGTCTAAGTGCCCATGACAGAAAAAGAGTTAAGCACAATTACTCACCTGATGTACATAAAACCCAGACCACGGATATAAGGCGAATCAGTATGGGTGATTAAGCCATTTACCTGCTTTCTTGTTAACTTTAAGGTGAACAGTTTGTAGAGTAAGCAGTATGCAGTCGACACAATGCCTCCAGCACCTACCCCTCGGACCTGAACAGCACATGAAACAAAGAGACACTGGTTTAGACTGAATACATTAACCCACAACTTCTGTACAATATGAATACATTAACCCACAACTTCTGTACAATATGTAACAAGCTTAATGCCTCCAAGCAAGCCTCAGTGGAGAGACATAAATCAGTTCATATACTATGAGCAATGACTTAGGGATTATTAAAATTGAATTTGGTGGTGCTAAATTTAACAGGAGTATTGAGCAACAGATTAAAGTGGATGTGTTGGATGCTTTGTACTCCACCCATACCATTAGGCAAACTACTTGCTCTTTTTATTATTATACAAAACAATACAAATAAACTCAAATTTAGAGCATTATAAAAGTGAATTGACAATATTCCTGGATGATTAAAAGAAAGAAGACCTACCTCCCATTACCCTAACAAAGAGACTGAGTAGTTTTGAGGGTAAATTGCACTTTTGAGGCGCAACAAGTTTGAAATGTAGATGAAAATGGACATGCACAACAACAAATATAAATGGGTCTCACACATTCTGACTTGAGGTACTCTATGTAAAACACCAGGCAAACCCTCCAGGCTCATTTCTTGCCATGTCTCAAGAGGCTCCTGCATCTGAAAGCACTTGTAGATCATTTCAGAGTGCAAATGCTTCATTGGAAACTAGAACCAGCACTTACGGGACTTGAGTCATTTTCCTAAATTACTGAGACAACACTAGCATGATATGAAGCTAGGAAATGAATGAAGCCCTGTTATATACAGTTCATTGCACTTTTCTTATGTCAAAGAATAAAATAAAACAATACTTACACCACCACACATGCCCGTTTGCCCTGCAGTCTTGCGGCTACCCTTTTCCCAAGGCTCTAAATGTTGGACTTTGTAGTATATTTCATCAATTACTTCGTGATATGTTTTGAGCTCGTACAAGTTTACTGTAAAAATGAAAAATGTAACACTGAAATTAAAATCGTTCATCATAAGGTCTTACTACAAAAGAGGCATCACAAGAAAATGATTGAACTGGTAAGGTTATTACTTGCATACCTTTAAAATAGTGAGATGATTGAATATTGGTAAGGATAAGTGGGTTCATATTCATAGTTCGGTCACTACCCCAAACTGGTAAAACATTTCCTTTCTTATCTTTTCCTTTTTTCATAGGCCTTTCAACTTCAGCTTCGTCTTCGTCTTCCTCGTTCCACGAGTTTTCTGAAATGTTCAAAGGTCTGAATTAGGTTTCATAACAGCTAGAACGAAAATAATACAAAACTTTCTAATGATTGAGGTTATGAGACCTATGTCACTAAGCACAAAAAAATATAGAACGAAAAAAAAATTCATTTAACACTAAAATGGAATTCAACATAAAAAGATACGAAATTTGTCAATTCACACGTGAAACTAAAGAATTATAAACAAAGACGGAATACGATCTATTGACGTAGTTGGATGTACTAACCTTCATTTGGATCCATTCTGACAAAAAAATAAGACGGTGTAGCTTAAGGTAACTACTTCACACCAGTTTTCCTTCGACTAGAAAGAAGTCAACTTCCTAGTTATTCACTTAATGACACATATTCGTAGACACTAGCTGAAGAGGGACCTTGAAAAGAACGCAAGACCGTACGTAAAATATTTGTCAACTGATCATCAAAGCCCTAACGGAAGTGAACGGAAGTGAACACTGTGACTACATCGATCGTTTACCTTCGTCCTTACATTCATCTGAAACAACCACATTGAGTAACTTTTCACAAGCTGGCTTGAAAGAATGTTACCGCAAGTAAGAGGAAAAGTGAATTATAAGAATCAGAAGACACGCGCAGCAGATTTGAGATAGATGTTTCACTTTCTAGAGTTGGCCATTCATTCACTGCCTTCACAGACATTTGGTGTATTTGTTTTGGGGTTCGAAATATTTTGTCATAATTTTGAGTTGATGGGTTTATTTAATAGTTGTATTTATGTGTAGCTTTGTTCCCTGAACTGGATTGAAGTGCCTATCAATATGTCATTCTCACTGTTTTCTCCTCGATAGCCTTTTTGGGGAAAATGTGGCCAGAGTGCCCACGTCTAGTGTGGACTGGTGCAGTGTAAAGCCAGGTGTTTACTTCCATTTGATCGTGATAAATAGTTGATTTAACTAATCCAGAATGATTAACAAAATGGCGAACACTTCCAATGGAAATGGCAATCTTGTTGACGAATTTGAAGAAGCATTTCAGGTCAGTATTTCTTTCCTGCAACCGGCTAGCCTTCATAACCTACAGGGTTGAGCATTCATTTGTCAGATTCTTATCTTCAAATAAGCATAATTTGAGTATAATTTTTATCATTCTTCAATTTATTTGTACATTCCTATTGTTTTTTTCAGGCGTGCCTGAATATCTTGACCAAAGATGACAGCATTACAAGTATGGACAAGGATGAAATCCGTGCCGAAGTTGACCAAACCATTAGCAGAGTCATTGATTTGGCACGGCAAACTGAAAGCTATTTTCTTCAGAAAAGATTCTTACTTTCAGCACTCAAACCTGAATTCATTGTAAAAGAGGTTAGTTATTTTGGTAGAGTATCCTGTCAGTCCTACTGCATTTATTATAGCATAAATTATTTTCTCGTAGGACATCACTGATCTTAAAACTGAGCTGCTTCGGAAAGATGAATTAATCAAGAAGCACTATGAAAAGATAAATCAGTGGCAAAATCTTCTTGTGGATTTGCGCTCAGCCCAGTCGCAAGGGCACTTGGGTCAAGCAGCGGCAGCTGTGGGTGCAATGGGACAACAGGGCCCTCATCTGGGACAACCCAATGGTATGATAAATGAGCCGCTAAATTGTGTGTCCCCTGTGCCTCTCTTCAGTAGCTCATTGTTACTTTTGCTTTTCAGGCATGCCTCCAGGTGGACCAGGACCAGCAATGGGTCCAGTTGCTCCGGGTAACAGTATGCCAGGAAATCTTCAACAGCTTCAGCAGCAACAGCAGCAACAATTGCAGATGCAGCAACAACTTCAGCAGCAGCAACAGCAACAACAGCAGCAGCAGTCTCAGCAGCAGCAGATGCAATTACAGCAGCAAATGCAACACCAACAGATGCAGCAAATGCAAATGCAGCAACAGGTAACAGTTTGTGGAATTTCTGTTGATTGAAGTTGATCATTTTTTTATGTCATCAACAATTAATTGTGTGTTGCTCAGCAGGTGCCTGGCATGGCTTCACCGCAGCAGACCATGTTCATGGGAAGTCCCCGTACGCCGTTCCAGCCATCCCTCCAGGGGCCCCTGGCCTACCTGGAGAAGACCACAAGCAACATAGGCATGACAGATGGGCGTCGGTGACGCGGGCGGGGGAGGGGTAGGGGCCGCACGAGAAGCAGAGGGCGCGGCCGTGGTCGAGGCTCGGGGCGTGGCGTTGTTGACTACGACCCCATGGCCACTGCACCCTAGACCCTCCCAGTGCGCTACAGGCGCACTAGCCGCAGCACAATGTGATTTGTTTGATTGCCATTCGCTGAGTCTCCTCCAGTCTCGCCAGAGTTGCATTGCTTGGGTTGTTGTTTGGATTCTGTCTATTGTAAAGCAAGTGTCTAAATCCACTAGCCCATAGTTTCTCTTAGATGAAATTCAGTTGAAAGTTGACCCAATGGACAGTGAAGCTTATCTCAGGTTTTGCTGTCTGCATACTCTGGCTTGAGAAGGAGAAAGAAAAAAGTGAGAAAGAGAGACATTTAAAAAAAGAGACCTCTAGCAACAAAATTCACACAAGTGCTTCCTATCAACTGTCATCAAATGTGTCCCTCCCTCCCTGTTTGTGGACTTGTAAATGTTTCTGTAAAAATTATAATCCATCTGGTAAGCTTGTCTGCATCAATACGAAGTCATTTCATTTTTTCCTAATGTGCAGAATTTGTATTAAAATTGTTATTTTCATTGTTGATTTTGTTTTGTGTGCGAATATGATTGGAGGGAAGTTGTTTTAAAGAAAGGACTCGTTGAAGTAGGTGTTATTCATACTACAGGTGTTCTGATAATTGATTTGAGAAAATTCTTGAAGCAGATCTTTTGTTTTTATATACTGCTGATGACCTGATAATTAATTTGAGGAAAAGTATAGCTTGTCAATTCTATGTTGAAGTTTACTGTGTTCCAGCATTTAGTCTCTAACATCCTTGGACCATCATGCACTCAATTTGGTTTATCTTGGTCTCTCTTGCTTCCCACTTTTTCAGGTGTGAAGGAAAGCATGTACATTTGTGTGGTGTGTCTGTGGTCAAGTATGAAACATCCTTAGTGTGGTCACAACACTTGACTCATCTTGTATATTTATTTTTTTTTACTATGCATTTTCCTGTAAATGATGTAAATTTCATCCTTAAAAAAAATACTATCTCCAAGGGGAAAGAGTGTTTAAGTTATGAACATGTGAGTGGAGCCCAAGAACATAATATTCACAAAAGTTGTAGATGTTTTGTTAAGTTTCTGTAATCTTGTATGGGTGTGGGCAAGATGCTTTAAGTATTTACATGTCATTTTGTTGTTATTAATAAAGGAAAATTCATAACCGGGCAATATAATGTTTCTTTCTAATTTTAATACTACAAATGCATTCCTTTACAACAGACACTTCCATGACATTTGCCAACAACTTTCAATTTACAAAGAATAAAATTTAACATTTGTTAGAATTGTTTTCGGACTGTTGTACCAGAAACTGAACAAGTGTACGAGTAGGCCGGCCTGACATACCTTTGCCAATATATTTCATCTGGTTACCATCCTCCATAACTCCTGCCATATCAAGGTGCATCCAGTCTCCCTTGGGAGCAAAGTTCTGAAAAAAAAAAAAAAGGAAATGTAAGTACGACAGTAAATAATATGGACAAAATCTAACTTGCACTTCTATAAATTACCTGCAAAAAGGCTGCTGCTGTGCATGAGCCGCCTCCATCAACATTGCTTATGTTGTTCATGTCAACATGAGTATAATCTGAAACATGATAAGTTCATTAGTTTTAAGCTGTTAAGAAAAAAAAAAAGCGAAGTGAAAAAACAATTACCTGTCATATTCTTGTTGTAGCAATTCCATAGAGGGAAACGCCACATGCGATCACCGGTCAAAATGCCAGCCTTTTCTAAATCTTCCCACAACGGTGTTGAGCTAGAAAATGTTCCTGTGGCAGCTCCTCCAAGTGCTACACGCATTGCACCTAAAATATAGAAGATGTGTTTAAAACTGAATAAATACTGTAAATAAATAATGACAAACCTAAATTACCTAACTACTAACCAGTTAAAGTGGCAATATCCAAAGTAAAGAGAGGTTCAAACTGTGCAGCATAGCAAAGGGCATCTGCCAAAATAAGCCGTCCCTCTGCGTCCGTATTGTCAACTTGAATGGTCATGCCATTCATGGCAGTAAGAATGTCACCTGGTTTGATTGCAGAACCTCCTGGCATATTTTCACAAAGTGGAATCAGCCCTGTTTGAAAAAGGAAGTAAAAATAAAACTGATCATATGTACATCAGGCACAAAATGCAGGAAAAAATAGAGTGACTGAGTCAGAAAATACCAAGCAGATAAATACAAAGATAGCTTAATATTTGCAAATTCTCCTCATAGAGAAAATCACCTTTCAAATTGATGTTAAGCTTCAGCTGTGCGGCAGCTTGGATAGTTGATGCAACACAAGCTCCTCCTCCCATGTCCCCCTTCATGGTATGCATTCCTTTTGATGGCTTTAGGCTGATACCGCCAGTATCAAAAGTTACACCCTTGCCTTAAATAAGGAGTTAAAAGTAAGTAAAAGTCTTACAGGAATTCTACTTTAGATTCAAACGATATTATGTTACTTGCCAACTAAGACTATTGGTTTCTGATCTTTCGGTCCATTTTGATAGGAAATTTCCAAGAAAACTGGAGGCTGTGATGAACCTTGAGAAACTCCTAAGAAAGCTCCCATTTTCTTATTTTCAGCCCATTGTTTATCATGGGCGATTACTTCCACACCACAAGGGGTAAGAGCATCTTTCACATTCTAAAAGAGAAAATTTGGTTGATATTTAAAGAAAAAAGGAGTACATAAGAATATTCTTCAAAAAAGGAATAAAAGAATTTATTTTCACCTGAGCAAATATTTGGGGAGTCATGAGGTTACTAGGAGTAGACATAAGTCGTCTTGACAGATTTTGAGCATTGGCAAATATAACGCCTTTTTCCCACTCATTGCTTAAGACAAAAATTTTTAGATCAGTAAGAACTATTTGGAGTAGAAATTCAACAATAGCAGCATTGATCAAACTTACATTCCATCTTCCCCATACAGCTGAATGGAAGTCTCTGGTTTCTTCTTAGACCTGTACTCATCATAAATCCAATTGCTCAGAAGAGCACCCTCAGCTGCTGATTGGGCATCTCCAAAACTCTCTACCCTTATGTCATGAATGTGAGCTTTCTTAAGAGAGGCACAGCCAACTGCAAGAGATTCAATCTCAATAAAATTGGAGGCAATTTCTTACATGTAAGGGAACCTTCTCAAAAGTTCTAAAAAAATAATTCAACTTCTTAATGGAAATTTTACCTGCAGCTGCAGCCCGCACTGCCTCTTTTCCTTGATGTATCAATTCTGATTGGTGGACTCCCTGATCTTTTTCACCCAGACCAACAACAGCAATGGCAGTGGCTTCTGGGATAACATCATAAAAGACATACCCCTCTCCCTCCTTGATCTCAGGACCCGCTCTGAAAATAGGAAATATTACAGATTCAATAATTTATTACTATGACATAGGTTGCAGACACTTTCATTCAAGAGACTGACTGAAACATTGAAGTATGCAACTTATTCTAAACCCCCTCATTACTTGATCCAAATGGGAAGAGGGTTTTCAGTCAGAAAGGCTTAGAATGTTCAATCATTTATTTCACAACAACAATAACAACAATAAAGCAGCTTACACGAGTATGAATTATCACACCATAAGTGATTTCACACACTCATTTGTGCCATGAAAACAAGGGGATATTTTGTTTCTATAATGTTCTTGCTACTCATCAATAATTGTACTAAAGAAGATTGCTTGACCTGTTATAAATATGGCAGGGCAAGTTATGGTGCTTTTTATCTTCAAAAAACTATTTTGCTTCTTTTCTAAAGAATTATTTATTGTACATAATAGCTCTACTTCAAGTCTATAAATACTTAAGCAAAGCTATGAGCACAACATACTTAGATCATTTTTTTTTGTTCCTTTAAAGGAATGGATACTGGTTGCATTTCTGTCAAAGTTATAATAATTCAATCATATAAAAAAAAGAACAATTAAAATTACTGTAAAGTTTGAAGAAGTGATGAATGATAAATTTGCTTTATTAATGAGGAGAGAGAGACAGAAGATTATTCATTTAATATATGAGCACACAATTTTGGAGGAAAACAAAAATAGCCAACAAATGAACCAGTGCTATCACATTTAAGTCATTTGCTAAAATTATATTTCATGTTTGTTTTTTTCATCATCTTGTCAACAGGAAACTTCAATAACTAGGCACATGACGTTCTTAAATGAAAACCTTAACTAAATTGTTTGCCAGCTAATGGGCTTTGATCACAAAAACAAATGCACAGTGTGTAGAAAAATATAAAGAACTACAGTGCACTAAGTAGTTGAACTTCAACATTGCATTTAACAGAAAACAAATTTTTAAAATTTCAATTCACTCCGATTTTGGTTGCATTAAAACATTAGTGGAATTTAGTTATGGGCTACGTTTTCTAATAGAACATTTAATTTCAAGCATCTTTCATTCAATATGATTTGTTCAAGACAAATTATCTACAGTCCATATCACAACTATTATTGCAACTGAGAAACTAAAACCAATCTTCTTGACTAAGTTACTTAAACAGAAAGAGGTGCACTGGAAGTCATTGCATACACCTCTTAACAACTTTGGATATAAAGTTTAGCCGTAACTTCTAAGGCAGAGTTCGGGTACGCTTTGATAAATTTTTCTCTAAGGCATGAACAACATCCCCTTGAAACTTGAGTAGGATCACAGCAAGCTTCGATGTCTAATTATTCAGATATTCATCTAGTGCCCTTGAGCCATATTCTAATAATTAAATGACTGCTAATTGTGTTCCTTGTCTTCAAGGTGACTTCACATTATAACATTCATACTACCACCTTGCATCTAACCTTAAGAAGATTGCAGTGCAAAAGAGGCACCAGATGCATATTTTGAAAGATGACTTTATTAAGATAGGGCAAAAGTGGACGGGGAAATAATAAGTACAAACAGTTTGCATAATCATATATAAAACTTGGCACATTGACTTTAAAATCTGTAAGGGTTAGCTCCTGCATTCAACTGCACATAATTCATACTAATTCCAATATTTTAATAATTCCCTGGCTGTTAGCAGACACAACAACATTGGAATTTTGCCTCCAGCATACAGCAGATACAAACTCTTTCACATCATCCTCTTTCCTATCTTTCTCTAAAATACTTCGAACAGCATCAAATTTAAAACTAAAGAGTTGCTTTGTGAGCCCTTTGTAATACACATACAGAGAATTATTTTCTGAGCCACAAGCAATGTAATCTCCATCTGTGGCTAAGCCAACAAAATTCTTTTCATTGGTATGTCCCACAAAGGAACGAAGACAATGCAAATTATTCACATTCCACATTTTCAACTGACTATCTGTTGAGGCTGAAACAATATCTTCTTTGTTCAGAAATTTGACGTAAGACACAGCTTTCCGATGTCCTTTAAATACCATGAGTGCTTCTTTCATATTTCGCAAGTCATAATAATGAACACAATGGTCGGCAGAACCAAAGGCTAGATGAAATGAACTGCAAGGGTTGAATTTCACACAACAGACATTAGCCTTAGCTTCCAAGGATGCAACGGAATTTTCCATATTTAAATTCCAAAGCTTCACCCTAGCATCATCAGATCCTGAAGCAATGAGTCGGGAATCCACAGCATTGAAGTCTACACTCCAGCAGCGTTTCTCATGTTCCTGGAATGTCTTTGTTCTTTGACCTGTTGCTGCATCCCAAACAGTAACAGCACCTTCATAATCACTACTTGCCAATACATTTTTGTGATAAGAGTTCCAGATAATGCATGATATCTTAGAGGTCGATGTCATTTCCACACAAGGGTAATGGATGTCCACAACATCTCGAATGACTGACCCATACTCAAAGACTTTTATTCTTTTGGTTACCCCAGCAATTGCAAAAAATTCATTATCTTTATCAAACTCAATACTGGATACTATGGTTGAGTTGTTGAATATATCACTGGAATAATTAAGAGTGGCCAAAGGTCTAAGGTAGTTGTAACGAGAAAACTTCACCAAATTCTCTCTGAATGTATCTAAACCACCAGCACTAACACTTCCAGTGTCTGCTGACATGGTAGATTTTTCACTGGGCCTGCCAAAAGTGACTTCTTTGGCTCTAATATTCAGATAACATTGGACAAAATCATCAAAATGTGTATGCATGCGTTTCCTACGTGATGCAAGTCTGTTTTCTACAATGCTTCCAGCCAGGCGTTTTTCATTGAAACCTTCACTGTCTTGTGATACAGTTTCCTCTTGGGGTGTCGAACTGTCTAGAGAATTAGACACAACAGCTTTCTTCTTTGACTTCATTGAAGATGGTCTGCTCTCTAAGTTTACACATATATCTTCAGCACCTGGGGTGCAGTCTTTGAGAACTCTATCAACCTCGGACATGTCATGTTTTATAAGAGATACCTCTTTGTTCAACAAATCCAGTTGAGATTCTTTCAGTCTCAATAAATGCTCTAAGAACTCGTGAAGTAATTTGTTCTGAGAATACGAAGATTCTGCTTCAAGGACACTTTTCCGTTGAGTAAGTAATTCAAGAATTACATTGACGTCCGGAAGTGTAAGATTACGAGATTCAGTTGACACAAATTCTCTTAGTCCATCAACTGGACTCTGTGCCCACTCTCTTGAACTACTAGAGGTGGCACTGAATTCGTTCTTGACTTTGGACTTCGCTTTGAATTTAGAGATCAATTCATTTAGTAAGTAATTAGGGAAAACATTATCCAGTGATCCCAAAGAATAGCTACATTTGGGGCACCGTCCACTCGATTCCAATGATTTTGCAATGCATTGGTGGCAAAATGTATGTCCACAACGAGTTATATGAGCCTCCTGAATAAGTTCGAAACAAATGGGACACAAGTAGTCATTGTTCTTGTCTTCGAAGGATCCCCCGACACCATTCAACACAGCTGGATGCTGTCGTTTGGTAGGACGGCTCCGTTGATGGGTTGTGTTGTGTGATGATGATGATGGTGAATTTGAAGCCATTATTCCAAAGAGAGCACGTCACACAGTGATATCCCTGAAACAACACAAATAATGCTAATTAGCTCAAATGTCATGGTCCGCTAGCCTTATAAAACGTTTTGAATAATAGAAATTCACAGATCTAAGAAGACCATTAACTAAAAGTTGCACTAGAACAGTTCAGAAGGTATTTAGTGGATTTCTGGGTGAATAAAAGGAAAAAGTGTGGCAAGCAGTTTTGAAAAACATAAAAAGTGGCACACAGTGACTACAACTAAACAAGAGTGGATTGATCAAACACTAGTATATAATTAGTTCCATACCAAAACTGCTCTAACTATCTAATTAAGGCAGAATGTTGATCAAATAATTTTCTCATGACATGATTGAGCAAGGAGCATTACTTGACATTGTTTCTGGGTTCAGTTTACCCATGCCTCCCCCACCCACCCAACCCAAAACAAGAACAAACAAGAAAAAGGAGAAGGAAAGAAAAAAAAAGAGATAATGAGAATAATTACACAAAGCAGCACAAACAAAATGACATTGAAGAACAGCTACCCACATCAAAAGCACAAACCACCAATGAATATTGGAAAGTGATAAAGTGGCACAAAAGCAGTGAACGGAACAATCTTTCAGTTTTTATTCTAAGAAGTGAATAAATGAGAAAAAAAAACTGAACAATATGAAAATTTACAGTTTTGAAAGGGACTCACAAATTTATGAGCTTCTGCAAACGTCCATTGGATGCGGCATCAACTTTCTGGGCATCAGCAGTCAGAACACAGCCGCCCTTGTTGCTGTTCGCTCCAACCACAATCCCCTTCTGAAAATGAAAAAGAAAGTTAGCTAGTGACAAAACAAACCACATTAAAGAAGGGAGAATTGTCTCATATGGAAACCACTTTATGATTACATACAGCAAAATTAATTCAGACACAGGTCGCTTCTAAGGATAATAACCGGCTAAAATATCGAAGAGAACAGAAATTACACGCTAATTCTTGCGTTAAAACATGCAAAACTCAAGTAATGTTTGGTTTCACGGCGTAGAAAATCCGCAGGTGTTTTTAACGGGATTAAGGAGGACATGTTAGGTTAAGTGGCACTCTAGTCAACTTCGACCTACTGGGACACGAGCGGCTGGGTCAAACCCACGCTCGTTGCCACTGCGACACATGGCAATCGAAAGACCAAAGAAATAGGTACGGCGGCCTTGCCGCAAGCTTGTTAGAAAACAAAATCGGTTTCTTTTTTTTTCTGAGCCGTAAATCTGAGGTGCTTCAGTCATCATTGAGCGCAAGCAAATCATGTGCTGTTTACCTTCACATTTTCCGCGCAGGACGCCAGGGTACGAGATGAGCAGCTGGACTTCAACATAAGCAAAGATCTAGAACAATTCAATATCATGTTCAGCACATACACTATGTGCTAGGAGGGGCTCGGTGTCAGGAAAGACAGAGACAGGGAGGGATGCTTGCTGCTTGGCTGCTTTGGCTCCAACCACGCAGGCCCCGCGCAACGCAGGGAGGGTAGGGAGGGGAAGGCAGGCGGGCGTGGCGGGGAGGGAAAGGGGAAGGGGGAGGGGAACGCTCGCCGTGAAAATGGCGGCAAACCTGACTCGCTTGAATGAATGCGCTGGAAACGAACCTCACGTGCTTGACGTGCTCGAGGGGACCAAAGAGGAGCGCACTGGCCATAGAGTAAGTTACACTCGGACTGGCCGCACGGGTTACGGGTTGTGCTGCAGTGGGGATGTGTGTGGAAGAGGGGGGGGGGGATCAAATGATAAGCGAGGAGGAAAGCAAACCACTTGGAAAGCTGCGGAAAGGCTTGACAAGACGGAGCAGCACGCAACGGCGGCTTGTGCTTGTGAGAGCGCGGCAGCGGCAGCGCGGCGGAGTTGCAAAACTTTTACGGCAAACAAGGACTCGGCGGGCATGTGACTGTGCACTGAGTACCTCCACGCTCCGCGCGCGGGGGGGACGGTCGGACGGCGGGGAGGCGCGTCAGGGACCAACTTGGCGGTAATTCGATAGAACTTAACGAGTTGCCCTGTAACAAGCAACAAGCACAAACGTCCTCCAATCCCCGTGCCGACTGAAGACCGAAGATCGAAACGATGCGGGGCCACAAATAACAAATCGGGCTCGTGGGTACCATTCGTACCTCTCACAACAAAAAGGAAGCCCCCTCACTCCGTGCACACGGGCCGACACGGGCTCAATCCTGGCACATTCCACGTTCATGCATGATCAAAGCCTGCTAGTAGGCCATTCAAGCCAGGGGTATTGCCCAGACAGTTTTCAAGGTCAAGTCATGCCCTACGTTCGGGCGGAATGCAATTCCCCCATCTTCCAGGTGGCTGCCTAGGGGCAGGGGAAGGGGAAAGGGGGGGGGGATGGCATCGTGACGCCCTAGAACGTGCCCTACATGCCTGGCGCGCAGCCCTCCGATGTTACCTTTTTCAGCCTGCAGCCGGCTATCGCGACAAAAATATAGTTTTGCAGTTCCAGCTCAATTCTCACAAAATTATGTGAATGCAAAATTTTGCATTGGTTAGGTTTGGCTCAAGGCAGTGCGTGTTCATCTGGGAATTTGCTTTACGTTTCCTATGGGAGTAGCAATTGCTGGGTGTGATTCTTTCCGCTCACAAATTTCACATTCAGCCCAAAGTGATATCGAAGTCACTGTGTCAGTGAGCGCGGTCGGTGTACATCGTTTGTCCGTCCGACGTTTGTCCGTCCTGCCGAAATTTGTCCGCCCTCCCCTTCGCTTAAATTTTTGTCCGCCCGACGTTTGTCCGCCCGACGTTTGTCCGCCCGACGTTTGTCCGCTCGACGTTTGTCCGACTGACGTTTGTCCGATCTCATTTCAGGAAAGAGGGAGGGGGAGAGTATAAAATATTCCACCACGTCAGTGACAGATTAGTCGTCGGGATGGACGAAGAGGAAGCGGCCACGCTGGGTTGCCTACCTCCGAGGCGGGCGGGTCCGAAAAGGAGCCTGTCCGTGTCACTCCCACCAAAGTAGGGGTGGGAGCGTCTTTGATGCCCCCTGGCAGCCGATGGGGCCCCCGGCATTTGGGCCGGCCACCAGAACTTCCAGGTTCCCGCGGTGGAGGTCCTTGGCGTGGTCCTCAGGCCGAGCGAGCTTGGTGCTGCAGTGCAGGGCCAAGCGCGACAGTGTTGCGGCAGCCCAAGCGCGACAGTGTCGCGGCAGGGGAAGCGCGACAGTGTCGCGGCAGGTGACGCGCGACGATGTCGCGGCAGGGGAAGCGCGACGATGTCGCGGAAGCCCAAGCGCGACAGTGTCGCGGCAGCCCAAGCGCGACAGTGTCGCGGCAGGGGAAGCGCGACGGTGTCGCGGCAGGTGAAGCGCGACGATGTCGCGGCAGCCCAAGCGCGACGGTGTCGCGGCAAGCCAAGCGCGACGTGTCGCGGCAGGTGAACCGCGACAGTGTCGGGGAAAGGGGGAAGCGCGACAGTGTCGTGGGGGGGGAAGCGCGACAGTGTCGCGGCAGGGGAAGCGCGACGGTGTCGCGGCAGGTGAAGCGCGAGTATGTCGCGGCAGGGGAAGCGCGACGATGTCGCGGCAGGGGAAGCGCGACAGTGTCGCGGAAGGGGAAGCGGGAAAGTGTCGCGGCAGCCCAAGCGCGACAGTGTCGCGACAGGGGAAGCGCGACGGTGTCGCGGCAGGTGAAGCGCGACGATGTCGCGGCAGCCCAAGCGCGACAGTGTCGCGGCAAGCCAAGCGCGACAGTGTCGCGGCAGGTGAACCGCGACAGTGTCGCGGAAGGGGAAGCGCGACAGTGTCGCGGCAGCCCAAGCGCGACAGTGTCGCGGCAGGGGAAGCGCGACAGTGTCGCGGCAGGGGAAGCGCGACAGTGTCGCGGCAGGGAAAGCGCGACGGTGTCGCGGCAGCCCAAGCGCGACGGTGTCGCGGCAGCCCAAGCGCGACAGTGTCGCGGCAGGTGACGCGCGACGATGTCGCGGCAGGGGAAGCGCGACGATGTCGCGGAAGCCCAAGCGCGACAGTGTCGCGGCAGGGGAAGCGCGACAGTGTCGCGGCAGGGGAAGCGCGACAGTGTCGCGGCAGGGGAAGCGCGACGATGTCGCGGAAGCCCAAGCGCGACAGTGTCGCGGCAGCCCAAGCGCGACAGTGTCGTGGCAGCCCAAGCGCGACAGTGTCGCGGCAGGGAAAGCGCGACGGTGTCGCGGCAGCCCAAGCGCGACGGTGTCGCGGCAGCCCAAGCGCGACGGTGTCGCGGCAGCCCAAGCGCGACAGTGTCGCGGCAGGTGACGCGCGACGATGTCGCGGCAGGGGAAGCGCGACGATGTCGCGGAAGCCCAAGCGCGACAGTGTCGCGGCAGCCCAAGCGCGACAGTGTCGCGGCAGGGGAAGCGCGACGGTGTCGCGGCAGGTGAAGCGCGACGATGTCGCGGCAGCCCAAGCGCGACGGTGTCGCGGCAAGCCAAGCGCGACAGTGTCGCGGCAGGTGAACGGCGACAGTGTCGCGGAAGGGGAAGCGCGACAGTGTCGTGGCGGGGGAAGCGCGACAGTGTCGCGGCAGGGGAAGCGCGACGGTGTCGCGGCAGGTAAAGCGCGAGTATGTCGCGGCAGGGGAAGCGCGACGATGTCGCGGCAGGGGAAGCGCGACAGTGTCGCGGCAGGGGAAGCGGGAAAGTGTCGCGGCAGCCCAAGTGCGACAGTGTCGCGGCAGGGGAAGCGCGACGGTGTCGCGGCAGGTGAAGCGCGACGATGTCGCGGCAGCCCAAGCGCGACGGTGTCGCGGCAAGCCAAGCGCGACAGTGTCGCGGCAGGTGAACCGCGACAGTGTCGCGGAAGGGGAAGCGCGACAGTGTCGTGGCGGGGGAAGCGCGACAGTGTCGCGGCAGAAGAAGCGCGACGGTGTCGCGGCAGGTGAAGCGCGAGTATGTCGCGGCAGGGGAAGCGCGACGATGTCGCGGCAGGGGAAGCGCGACAGTGTCGCGGCAGGGGAAGCGGGAAAGTGTCGCGGCAGCCCAAGCGCGACAGTGTCGCGGCAGGGGAAGCGCGACGGTGTCGCGGCAGGTGAAGCGCGACGATGTCGCGGCAGCCCAAGCGCGACAGTGTCGCGGCAAGCCAAGCGCGACAGTGTCGCGGCAGGTGAACCGCGACAGTGTCGCGGAAGGGGAAGCGCGACAGTGTCGCGGCAGCCCAAGCGCGACAGTGTCGCGGCAGGGGAAGCGCGACAGTGTCGCGGCAGGGGAAGCGCGACAGTGTCGCGGCAGGGGAAGCGCGACGATGTCGCGGAAGCCCAAGCGCGACAGTGTCGCGGCAGGGGAAGCGCGACGGTGTCGCGGCAGGTGAAGCGCGAGTATGTCGCGGCAGGGGAAGCGCGACGATGTCGCGGCAGGGGAAGCGCGACAGTGTCGCGGAAGGGGAAGCGGGAAAGTGTCGCGGCAGCCCAAGCGCGACAGTGTCGCGGCAGGTGAACCGCGACAGTGTCGCGGAAGGGGAAGCGCGACAGTGTCGCGGCAGCCCAAGCGCGACAGTGTCGCGGCGGGGGAAAGCGCGACAGTGTCGCGGCAGGGAAGCGCGACAGTGTCGCGGCAGGGGAAGCGCGACAGTGTCGCGGCAGCCCAAGCGCGACAGTTTCGCGGCAAGCCAAGCGCGACAGTGCAGTCGCCCTGCACTGCAGCACCAAGCTCGCTCGGCCTGAGGACCACGCCAAGGACCTCCACAGCGGGAACCTGGAAGTTCTGGTGGCCGGCCCAAATGCCGGGGGCCCCATCGGCTGCCAGGGGGCATCAAAGACGCTCCCACCCCTACTTTGGTGGGAGTGACACGGACAGGCTCCTTTTCGGACCCGCCCGCCTCGGAGGTAGGCAACCCAGCGTGGCCGCTTCCCCTTCGTCCATCCCGACGACTAATCTGTCACTGACGTGGTGGAATATTTATACTCTCCCTCTCCCTCTTTCCTGAAATGAGATCGGACAAACGTCAGTCGGACAAACGTCGAGCGGACAAACGTCGGGCGGACAAACGTCGGGCGGACAAACGTCGGGCGGACAAAAATTTAAGCGAAGGGGAGGGCGGACAAATTTCGGCAGGACGGACAAACGTCGGACGGACAAACGATGTAGACTCAGGGCGGTGTCACGGTCGACGGAGCCGTCCCAGCCAAAGGTAGGGATTCTTGTGCCGGGGCGCCGGAAGTGGGGTGCAGGGTGGGCAGGCTGCCCCCCCTGGAATTTGGCAGGGGGGGCATCGCCCCCCCTGGACTTTGGTAGGAAGCTGCGAAAATCGAGCCAGGCGGGCGGGCACCGGTCGCGCAAAGGCCTTTGACCGCAACTAAATTGGATGCAGTGACCGCTCAAAGTCAGCAAAAACGATGATTTTTTGAAATTCTTTCACTTTTTGACCATTTTTGCGAGACCACTGCTCCTAAACTATCAGCGGTCAAAGCCTTCCCGAGGCGGTGCATGAAAGAGTAGGGTCTTAAGAATAGTAAGGCGTTGAGGGAGGCCTTTGACCGCAACTAAATTGGATGCAGTGACAGTTCAAAGTCAGCAAAAACGGTGATTTTCTGAAATTCATTCACTTTTTGACCATTTTTGCGAGACCACTGCTCCCAAACTATCAGCGGTCAAAGCCTTCCCGAGGCGGGGCATGAAAGAGTAGGGTCTTTAGAATAGTAAGGCGTCGAGGGAGGCCTTTGACCGCAACTAAATTGGATGCAGTGACAGTTCAAAGTCAGCAAAAACGGTGATTTTCTGAAATTCATTCACTTTTTGACCATTTTTGCGAGACCACTGCTCCCAAACTATCAGCGGTCAAAGCCTTCCCGAGGCGGGGCATGAAAGAGTAGGGTCTTTAGAATAGTAAGGCGTCGAGGGAGGCCTTTGACCGCAACTAAATTGGATGCAGTAACCGCTCAAAGTCAGCAAAAACGGTGATTTTCTGAAATTCATTCACTTTTTGACCATTTTTGCGAGACCACTGCTCCTAAACTATCAGCGGTCAAAGCCTTCCCGAGGCGGTGCATGAAAGAGTAGGGTCTTTTTAAGCACCTTTTTTGGTGGGGGAGGAGGGTAATTAGGAACGTAGGATTTAAAATTGTTTGCCCCCCCTGAGGAAATACACTTCCGGCGCCCCTGTTCTTGTGACCGTTAAAATAACCCCCTCCACCTCGAAAGTCCACCCGCACCAGCCCCCGCGCTTCCCCCGGCCCTGTGGAGGGGGTATTTGTAACGGTCGCAAGAATCCCTACCTTTGGCGGGGTCGACTATGCGTTTCTCGCTTAGGGCCGCGGCCACGCAGCAGCGCGCAGCAGCCAGTCACAGCTGCTGGCTCCTTCCTCGAGATAGATTGTTGCTCTCGAAGGCTTGGAGAGCAACCGAGTCACCTGCCGCGTCTGACCGTGGCCAGGCTGGCCAGGCTGCGTGGCTGCGTGGCTGCGTGGCTGCGTCTGGCTGCCTCGTGAATGGGCGGTGACTGCGATGACGGCGATGGGATGACGTCAACGCGCGCAAGCCTCGGCAAGCCTCGGCAAGCCGCTACTTGCCCCTAGTGGGCCCCCGCCCGCGCCTAGCCCTCCCGTCCTGGCCCATCCTGGCCTCGCTAGGCCTCGCCCCTCCTTCCCGCCAGCCACGCCAGCCGCATGCACCCCTTCTTCGCTAGTTTTATTGTTGCTCGCGTTGATAAGGTGCCGCCCTATCACTCGCATTATCGTCATCGGCACACACTTGTCATTGCCGCGGAGCCGCGGACTTGCACCGGGGCTGCACGGATGGCGTGGGCATACCCGGCATACCCGGCGTACCCGCCCGGCGGGGTGGGGGGAGAGGGGAGGGGGCGCCTCGCTGCTCCGCTGCTCCGCCCCGATTGGCCCTCTCGCCCGGCCTCGTACGCAGGTCCGCCCAGACAACCCCCGTGCCCCCACCCCCACCCCCGGACGGGCTGGCCAGAGAATATAGCCTCCACCTCGCTCACTCCACCACTCACGCTCCGACAGGCAACCATCCACCTGGCCACCAGGACAGACTGCACCTCGCCGACGACGCGCCCAGACACCACCGGCAGCAGCGTCCCACCCTCGCCCGCAGGCAGCAACAGTGGTGAGTCCAGGACAGCGCGCTGACAGTGTCTCCGACAAGATATTTTCGAAAAGCACCCTTCCGTTCCACGGCGCCTAGACTTATTTGAGCCGCTCCAGAGAAGCGGGAACGTCAAGCCCCCGAGAGGGCCACTGGTGTCAGTCAGGTTGCCTAGCACGGCGCGGCTTGGCTGAGAGGGAAAGGCAACGCCTACTATGCATCTCCAGCACGGCCGGCCGGACTGAGATAACTACGCAGTCTTTCGGTGCCGGGCCGCCCCTCGCTTCCAGGCTTCCAGACTCGGGCTGACGCCTGCCGCGCGCCGCGCAACTTCGCTTACTGCTGGCGGGGAAAATAAAACAACAAACGAGCAATCGCGGGTATTTGAACCCACGTCCCGGAAAGTTGCCGGTCCGGAAGTGGAGTTCGGCTCGGAAGGCCAGCAGCGCGACGCGCCGAAGCAGCGGCAACTTTTGTCCGGAAGTGAATGAGGCGCGGCCCAAAGTTGCGACACCGCGTGTTTCTTTTAGACAAATTAGACAAATATTTATAGCGGCGTGCCGCGACGGCCGGGACGGGTCTCTGAGGACGGCGCGACACGGGACTTGCGTTTGCGTGCTGGGCGGGGGCCTTGCCCGGGGCCGCGCCCGGAGTGCCGGGGGTGCCGGGGGTGCCTGGAGCGCCTGGAACGCTGCCATGATGCAGCCCGAGGCCCGCAAGGTGACCGGTCTCGCCCGGTCTCGCCCTCCAGGCTTCATGCTCAGCGAAGACAGTGCAGCGGCGTGCCGAGCAGTGGCGCAGGCCGCCGGCCGGCTCGGGCCCGAAACGGCGGTCTAGCCCGTAATGGTAATGGTAACACGAGGGTAGGCAAGCCCGCGGTACGGGCCTGTGCGCAGGACTGCAGGACAGCCTATCTTCCAGGCGCTCCCGAGCCGCAACAACGGGATGAACTCGCAATCGAAACGAAACAAGCGCCGACGGATGATCGTGTGAGGCGGGAGTGTTCAAAGCAGAGCCACAGGACGCAACCCGCGTCGGCCGGCCCGGCACGCCGTCGTGGGCCCGTTGAGGTGGTTGAGGCCCGGCTTGCCTGTTTTCCCAGGCCGCCGCGAACTCGGCGCCTCTCCACCTGGCTTCCTGGCGCCTCCCGGCCGCCTTGCCGCCTTGCCGCGGACTCCGGTCACGGCCCGCCATTATTTCTGCCGGGCCGCTGCCCGCTGCCGGCAACGTGGCGGCAACGTGGCGGCCCCGGGGACGCTGATCGGCCGGATCGGCCGGATCGCGCCCCCAGAGTCCGCCTCCATCCTCCGGTTTTGAGACGCCGGAAAGGGAGAAGAGAGTGGTTTTTATTTCGGGCCGGACGCGTGGGCTGGCGGACTGGCGGACTGGCGGGCCGGCGTCTCGGGTGGACCGGCCAAACAAAGCGCGACGTGGCCGGGCCGGTGTGGCCGGGCCGGTGCGGCGTGACGCATCGGCCGCCATTTGTCACGACGGCCACGGCGGTTGGCCCGTACTTGTTGACCGGCCGGCCGGCGGGGCGTCACGGAGTCGTATGACGTGAAGCAGTGTCTCGGGCCGGCGGACCGACGCCCCCGCGCGGCTACTCTCAGGGAGGCAGGTGGTGCACCGCGACACTGGCAAACACGGGGCAGTTTGTTGCGTGCACGGCCACAATCGTGGGACGTCTTTTCACGCACTTGGATCTGCGGTGTGGGTGGGTAAACCAGTTACGGTGTAGCGGCCGACGGTGCGGTTCTGCGTTCAAATCCCCGCACTACTTCTTCATATTTTTAATGATAGAGAATTGGTGCTGTTTTGTGAGCCCAATGTGTAGTAAGGACTACGTTTCAATGTACAGATTCCCTCATTTTTTTCATGGAAACGGTTTTTGAGCAATGTGATGGATCAATAAAGTAGGCAGACTACTTCTTTTTTTTGTTTTAAAAGCAGTGTTCAATATCAAAGTTAAAATCTACATTAAATTGACGATCGATTGGTCCCTGCCCTATCCATAAATTTCAGGAATTTTGAACACTGGCGTGTTAATTTTTCTGGGGTGGGTCGCCAGCGCACGGATTCGCAAACGCCGCCGCTGCTTGTACCTGCGCACCAACAACGTGATGAACATGTGTCCACTCGGGTATCAGGTTTCCGCGGGCCGAGGGCGGGGGCGGCGCTGGGCGGGGCGGGGCGGGGCGGGGCGGGGTGGCGGCAAAGAAACACAAGTGGGAATTATTTGGGTCCGTCTGATACGCGAGGGGGGCGACGAGCGAGGGTGACGAAATTCGACACCAGTTTTGTGTTGCCATCGTAACTCCGCGTCATAACACCGTCACGCGGGCGCGCGAGGCGCGAGGCTGGAGGAGGGTGCGGCTTTGATTGGCGTGGCGGGGCCGAGGGTGCGAGGGGGAGGGGGAGGGGGGCGGCGTGTTTGCATCTCGCCGATTCTAGAAACAGCGACAGTACACTGGCCGTGTACGTCCCGGGACGTCCCGAGGTGCGGCTGGAAGGCTGGAAGGCAGAGGCGGAGTGAGGACGAGCGAGCGGGAAGGCTGAAAAGTGGAACTTGGCAGGTCCGCGCGGCCCGCGGCCCGGCCCGTCCCAGCCAGACAATGGCTTGCACGGCTGCCCGGCTCGGCTGCCCCGCCGCCGCTATCCCTTTCTGCCTGCTTTGTGCGAGTGTGTGAGTGTGTGGACAGAGAGAGAAAGAGGGGCGGGGGAGGCGACCGCACACGTTTCCGCCCCGCGCGCCTTCATGGAATTAGAGTAATCCCCCTAGATGCATTCATTCCGCTACAACATTTCGTAAATCATGCAAACTGCGGGCAACACGTCGTGCGTATCAGGATAATGATATTTTTTTAACCGCTTTGAGCACCGCGCACGCAGAGAGGGAGTTTTAAAAGCGGTACTTTGTCGCGTCCGTAGGTCCGCCCCGCCGGTCTGCGGAACACAGTCTCGGAGCAGGGTGGACCTATTGCGCCACTGGACCGCCCCCACAAACGGTGAATGGGCCTTCCTCTGGACATTTTCTTCTTTGTTGAGGATGCAGATTCTTTTTTTCAAGACGCTAAGCAAGATGGTCATGGGTTGGCGGTCTGGGTCGGGGGATAGCGAAGGAAGTTGTCTGTCCCTCCATGGCGCCCCCGGGAACCCTGCGAGTGCCCCTCCCCTCCCCCCCTCCGCCGCCCCAGCCGTGCCCTTCGAGTGCGGCGACGTGTTGGGGTTGGCGCGCAGGGGCGGGGCGGCGCGGCTGGGACGCGCAATGATTGTTCAGGTTAGCCGAGAGTGACGATGAATAATAAAGTCGGCGTAACCGATCCCGCCGCCGGCCCTCATTTTCCTCTGCGAAAAACAACAACAACACAGAATCCAAGAAAGGAACGACGGAAACAGAAACAAGGCGGCGCGTCCCTGTCCGTCGCGCTCCCGCCGCGCCGCCGCGCCCCGCGCGCCCCGGTCCGTAAAATTGTTTCCAACTTGTCCGTGCGCTTTGCCCGGCCCGCGCCCGGCCCCGCGCCTGGCCCCGCGCTGGTGACTGATGTGAAACCACATGCGCTTTTCGCGCGGGCAGATGGGGCGATCCGTCTTGGCGGTCTCGCCGGCCGCGGGGCACCGCAGCGCGTGGGTGGGAGAGCGAAGGAGAGAGGACGCCCCCCAGGCGCTCCCGGAGGCGCTCGCGGAGACGGAGAGACAAGAGAGGCATTTTTGCCACCCCGCGGGGACCAGCCCAGCCCCCGGCTCGTGTAGGGCCTGGCGGCAGGCGGGGCCCGGCGACGTCCAAAGTGCAGGGCTTACAGTGGGGAGCACTTGGGGGGCATGCAGGCGAGCGGGTGTGATATAGTACTGCATGCATCGACGTGGGCCAGGCCAGCAAGGCCAGCCAGGCCAGCCAGGCAAAACGAACAGGAAACGAGGTGGCCCTACATTAAATCATTACCAGGGCGACAATGAAGCAAACAAAACGTGATGAATTTATTGATGACGAGCTGTGGCAGGGTCGCGTGCACATAACTAGTCAATGAGGGCAGATGGCCAGAAACGAAATAAATCAAGATCGTCGGAATAATGGCATGTCGGTGCCGCGCCTGCCGCGCACCGGCAAGTGTTTGGCGTTTTGAAGGGACCGGACCGCTGGCTGGCGGAAAATTATAGAAAAAGAATTCGCATCAATCATGAAAGTCGGCTGCCCCATTGTTGTCGTTGTCAGCGCAAACTCGATTTTTCATCAAGGACAGTCATCGGGTAATGTCCCTTCCCTTCATGACGGCTCTGCCTTGGGCTCTGCCGCCGACCCAGCTGCGGGGGCGCCCTGGCCGCCCTAGCGACCCTCCAGGAACTGCAGCCCGGGGCGGCACGGCCGAGAGCACGGCCCACCCCGACCCTCGCCGACCAGGCCCGGCCCGGCGCGGCGCGGGGAGGTAACCGGCTGCCTGATGGGGTTAGGTCAGCACTCGGGACGCCGGCGGGCAGGCGCCGCCGCGCCGCTGCCCAGCCTATTAGCACTATTTGCGCCATAAGGTCCATCGGGGCACCGCAAACACGGTCTTGATGGAGTGGCCCCGCGCGGGGCCGTCGGGGCCGTCGGGGCAGCGGCCTCGTCGCACCGCCCCCACGCGGCGCACCAGCGGCACCAGCCCGGATTACCTGGTTTCGACAGGTGTTCCGCTCTGGAGGGTTCGGCGCCAACCTCGCGTCCCCGGCGCCACGCGGCTGGGGCCCCACGGCTCCACCGCGCCATTACGGACCGCCGCTGCATAAAAGGGTGGCGCGAAATGCGAAATGGGCAGTGGTGTTCGCGGACCGCTAATTGTGCGGCGCGTGGGAGACGGCCCCGCCCCGCCCCGCCCTGCCCCCCCCGCCCCGCCCTGCCCCGCCCTGCCCGGCGGTGGCTACACGCCCGCATCGCCACCGCTGTGGCTCGGCGTGTCGGCCCTGTGGCGAGGCCCCCCCTGTACACTGAGCACACCTCGGAGGGGGCATTTTTTTATGGGTAGCAGTCCCCTCAGACTTGGCTTGGC